TGGAAACAGTTTCTCCTCTAGCCCCCGCACCATCTTGTGCGGTGTTCCTTGCTCTGTCCTTGGTCCCCTCCTCTTCAATATCTACATGCTTGGTGACATCATCTGCAGACATGGAGTCAACTTCCACATGTATGCGGATGACATCCAACTGTCCCTCTCTGCCTCCACCCTTGGCTCCAGGACCACTGCTGTGACAGAATGTCTATCAGACATCAAGTCCTGGATGAGAACTAATTTTCTTCAGTTCAGTTCTTCAACAAGACTGAGACTCTCCCGACTGGCTCCCGTCAGCGTCTCCACATCTCAGGCGCTGACAGAATCACCATCCCCGGTTGCACCCTCCACCTTACTAAGCCAGTCCAGACCCATGGCGTCTTATTTGACCTTCAACTATCCTTTCTATACCACATCTGTGCCATGACCCGCTCTTCCCTCACTTGCGCAACATCGCCCAGCTCCCCCACTGTCTCACTCCACCGGCCTCCGAAACCCTCAACAACAACAACAACAAGATTCCATTTATAGAGCGCCTTTCACGTCAGGAGGACGTCCCAAGGCGCTGCACAGTTGGGTCATGACCCGAGCAGGGGGGAAATGGTCAGGGTGAGGGGAGGGAGGGAGAGAGGAGGGGGGAAATGGTCAGGGTGAGGGGAGGGAAGGGAGGGAGCGAGGAGGAGGAAGAGAGTCGAGAGGGGAGCTGAAACCCTCATACAAACTCATTACATCGAGGCTTGACTCTATGCAAACTCCTTGCTTGATGGCCTCCCCGAGTCCTCCCTCCTTAGGCTGCAGATCATCCAGAACTCTGCAGCCCATTTTCTCTCCTGCATCAGTCTCTGTGACTCTATCACCCCCATCCTCGCCCGACTCCACTGGCTTCCCATCACACAGAGGATACAGCTCAAGATCCTGGTTCTCAACTTCAAAGCCTTCCATGGTCTTGCTCCCATCTACCTCTGCAACCTCCTAAGCCCCTACCATCCTGCTCCCTCCCTCCACTCAGCGGGCTCTGGCCTGCTTCACATCTCCAGCCTTGCTCGCCCCACTATTTTTGGCAGGCGGGCCTTCTGCCACTCTGCCCCCACCCTCTGGAACTCCATCCCACTTTCTCTCCGCCTTGTCCCCTCCCTTGCCTCCTTCAAGACCCATCTCAAGACCGTCCTCTTAGATCGTACTTTCGATCTCCCTGCTTCCCCCCTGCCCTCCACTCTCCCCAATCCTCGCCCCCAGCTCGGGTCCGAAATTCTGTCTGTCCAGCACCTTGGGACCTCCTCCCGATGTGAAACGACGCTATACAAATATAATTTTTTTTTGTTGTTATTGGTGTGTATAAGTTGTGTTTGACACACATGTACTGAATCCCGATTGTGCACATAGAGATAATAATAATAATGACAATCCTTGCATTTGCTATAGCCTTGTCATGTTCCACATCTCAAAGTGCTTCACAGAATATATTGTAAAGTGAATTGACGGTATATTTTGTGGAAGAAACACAAGAGCCAATTGCACACATCAGTGAATTAAGTGACAACATTTAATTTGTTGTTTGTTTGTTTTTGAAGAGATTATTAACCCTGGAAAGTAATCTGACAATTGAATACTTTCCGTGTTGCTGCAAACAGCTTCTGCAGAATGCACTAAACACAAGACAAAATGGATTGAGCTCCTTTGAGCTCCTATCTTTTGAAGCTCGAATTCCTACTTTTGATAAATAACAGCCACTGAGATTGAGTATCCCATGGTGTGTTTGAGTTTATCTGGATTTAATTGGAGCTGAAATAGAGAATTGTGTCACATTCCTCATCCTTGTCTGTAATTAAATGAAGTTCCCAACAATTGACAATCCTTGGTACAAGTGATCCGAATCTTGTAAAAAAACTCAACTCAATCACTGTTTGATGGCCCTTCCTCACTTCACCCCACCTCTCCCCTTTGAAGATGTCTCTACCACTGTTTACATCTCCATTACCTTTACTCTCAGCTTCATCTTCACAGTTATGTCCTTGCCTGGATTTTTACTCGTATGCCACAACATCTCCAATTCATATCTGTCAATAGCTTCTCCCCACCGCCCCCCCACCCCCCAGACTGTCACATATGGCTTTCCTCAGCACTCTTTCCTCAGTCTTCTCCTCTTTGAAATCTACGCACTCCCACTTGGTGAAATTATCCGCAGGCATGGGATTAACTCCACATTTCTGTGGACAATACAAGGCTCTATCTCTCTGACTCCACCTTCAATTCCCGGACCACTCTGTTCTGACCGACCAATTGCCGATCAGACATCAAATCCAAGATGAACTCTTAACTTTCTCTGATTCAGTGTCCTTCTCCGCCCTTTTAAATCCCTTTCAAATCCCTTTGTAATCAAAGGCAAGAATTAATATTATTGTTATTATTATCATCATCCACGCTGTGTCTCAGTCCTATTACATGTAGCTACTGGTGATCCTGCCAGCAGCATATTTGCCTCAAAGAGGAAACCATTGCTGTTTAAGTGCACATGGTTTGTTCAGTGAGGCTGCAGATTTATAACTAATCTGTGGTCAGCCAAGCAGCCGTCACTGAATTGGTGTTGCACAAAAATAGATATAAAAGATGGGGAAGAATTAGTAATAAAACAGTGAGTGAATATATAATAATATAATAATCCTTACATTTGATATAGCGCCTTATCACATAATTGAGCCGTTTCAAAGCGCTTCACAGAATATATTATAAAGTGGATTTACTGTGTATTTTTTGTGGGCCGCCAATTGCATTGATTGAGTGATCAAATGTTTTTTNGGTCGATCAAATGTTATTACCCCAGAAAGTGATCCACCAATCGACTCACAACCGGCCTGTTTACTTCTAGGTAAACATAGGTGTGTGGAGTAAGGAAATTTGACCAAGGTTTCACTGGGTCCTCTTGCTTGCGATGTGAGCGTGTTAACCACTACGTTATGGGAATCGAATTATTCCCAATATTAGGGACTCTTTTACTAAGAAGTTCCCATATGTGATCAGTGATATTAAATGTGTGTTTTTCATTTGTGAGTAAATTGCTCTCGTTCAAATACCAAATGATGCCCTAACATTTTAATTTATGCTTGAGCTGACTTTGCTAAATGCAAAATCCATATGGAAAGAGCATTGCATAATATACTATCAATTTTGTCCACAGTTTTCTGAAGCTGGTTGAGTTGAATGGAGTTCATTACAGCTGCAAGTGGGTGGGTGATGGTGAGAGCAGCTTTGCAATTGTACAAGTCCATGATTAGAGTACAGCCATCCACTTGTCCACAGAATCCACCTTGTGACCTTAACAGATTTCACTGCAGAACAGCGTTGAAGCTTTTCAGACCTCAGTTCACCTCAGGATGGTAGTCTCATGGCCAGTGTTACGGCAAGACCTTGTACTTGTGACGGGCAGAATCTGGTTGAAATGACCCGCACAGGTTGACAAAGCAGTGAGTGTGCACCTTACTGGGCTCTGAGGCTTAAAATTAAACAAAATTGAACTGCGTCGCAATTGTTTTAGTTTTACAGGAAGGGCAAAACTTAAAAGTTTTAATGTCTCCATTTCCAACGTGGCAATGTCACTTGTCCCAGAAGGGGACAGCAGCTGGCTGACACTATCTTTCCAGATGTGCAGTGGGCTGCTGAGGGATCTGAATCTGTGTTGCAAGTGTGTCAAGGGAATTCATCATCACTCGGATTAGTGGTGATGAACCTTCTGTCACGTTGCTCTTCAAGCGGCTCCGTCTAAGTGACAAGTCCCTCTGCTCATCAATATAGACACCAGCTCTTCAGATCTCAATTGGTGATTGATAGCTTTCTGCAGATCCATCATCACCTGCAGATCGAAGTCTGCAGCCTTCACAGTCCTTGGGCAGTATCTACTAGGAATTCCACCCTTAAAGCGCCAGGGGTTTCTCACCAGGTCTTTGTTTGAGGAAGTGGAGTCTTGTAAACATTTCAGAGATCACACTGTTGGTACCAGAGCTGCCACGCCTTTGTCATCTCATCTTCAGGGTGGATTTCTGCAGAGCTCTCCTTCAGTTCCTCAGCACTCCTATACAAGATGCCACACTTCCATCCTTATCAAGCTCCACTGACCTCCTGTCACTGACTAATCAGTTTCCAGATGTTTCTTCTCATTTTCAAATCCCTCCACATCCTTGCTGGTACCATACTGTTTGTGTAATCTTGTTCAGCCCCAAATCCAGCCAGCACACTCTGTTCTTCTGTCTATCTTTCTCTCTCACCATCTCTTTATCTCACAGACTCTCTCTTTCTAACTCTGGTTTCTCAGACTCTATCCGTGTATTTGTCTGTGTAGGTGTGGGGGTTTCTCTCTCTCTTTCTCTCTCTTTCTCTCTGTCGACCCCCTTCACCCTGTAACAAATCCTGCAAATCACTGAATGAACAAATTGTTATTGTTCTGTTCCTTGAAATGCACCTCTGGAAAACTCTCGCTACAGTTAAATGCACACCCGTCCAATAACAACTTTCTGTTCAACATTCGAGTCTGACTGTGCAGTTAACTGGATGTGTGGATATCCGATGCGTGAAATGTGGCCAGGCCCACACCTGTAACTCTTTTCCTGGTCTCCTCCCATTCTTTTATTCTCAGATGCCGAAATCAGGTTTTGAAACTGCTGACAGTGTGTGTTTCTTTCACCCACTACATCCTTGGGCAGTCTGTTCCACTTTCCACCAGCATGCGTCAATTGAAGTTATTCCAGCTGTCTATTTCCTAAACTGTTGCCTCTTACACATTTCATTAATAGCTCATCTGCTGACAAATTTTGCCTGCAATGTATTTTTTTAAACACCCTCTCACTGGCACGCTGTAAACTGTACGTGTGAGAGGATGTACCCGTGTGTGTGAAATATAAAGCAACAAAGTTAGAAAACTTTTGATGTGAAAAATGTCAGATTAATTTTCTCTCATACCGCTCTGTTCCTCGTGTTATTCTTATTAATGGCATTAAATTCATTTTTACTTGCAGATTATCAGCGGCTGATGACGGTTGCTGAAGGCATCACCACTCTTCTCTTCCCATTCCAATGGCAGCACGTCTATGTTCCCATTCTTCCTGCTTCTCTCCTGCATTTCCTTGATGCACCTGTGCCGTACTTGATGGGCCTGCAGTCCAAGGAACCCAACGATCGTTCCAAGCTAGAGCTACCACAAGAGGTAAAAACAACAAAGTGAATCTCACTGGAGTTTAGGAATTCAAGGAGACCCTTTTGCTAATTTTGTCAGATCATAATAATAATAATCCTTGCATTTGATATAGCGTCTTATCACGTCTTCGAGATGTCTCAACGCGTTTCACAGGATATACTATAAAGTGAATTGACTGTATATTTTGTGAGCGAAACGCAGCAGCCAATTGCGCACATCAGTGTCCCACAAACAGTCATGGATTGAGTGACCAAATTATTATTATTGTTCTTTTTGAAGGGATTTTACCTCCAGGAAAAAAAGTGATCTGCCAATTGACTAATAACCGGGTTTTTAATAGCGCCTTATCACGTCATTCAGACGTCTGAAATTGCTTCATAGAATATACTGTAAAATGAATTGCGTGACATCCTTACTTCCCAAATCCCTATCAGTCTGACTTTCATGCACCTCGATCAGTCCTGTATCGACAACTTCGGGGACAGTGCATTCCATCTTCTCTCAAGCATTTGTCTGAAGAAAGGAAAGCAGTTGAAAGCAGTGAGTCTAGAAAAAAGTCATGAGAATACGAAGTACGTGAGTTACATGACAAGGCCATAACCTTTCCCTACTTGTTCTTCACGTTAATGACCCCACGGCACGGTTCAAAAAAAGAAGGTAGTTTGTACTCGGTGGGCTGCCAGCAATCCCCAGTTAAAATTGGTTATTCAGTTCATGGCTGATTGCGAGACACTGCTATGTATAAATTGACTGCTGTTCCCTGACAAACAGTAGCTCCATTTTGCAGTATATCCTGTAAAGAGCTTTGAGACACGCTCTGAATGCAATAGGCACAATATCCAATGCAAGGAAATATCAAACCCGTATGAAAGGATTTTGTTTGAAGCTAAGCCTTTTCTTTACAGCCCACCTGCTTCCTTCTAGGCAGCTTTGGTGAGGAAAGGGAGGTGGGCAAGTTAAAAACTTCTGGTGATGGTAGCTAAGCATTGGGAGAGGCCAGCAAGCAGGTCTTTGCCCCTCACATTCGAAAATAAATTACGGTGACAGAGAGAGCTGTAAAACAGCCTTATTTTCTAAACTATATCCTGTCTTCAGTGAGGATCAGTTGTGATGAGCAGGTTTGTTTGCAGGCAATGTTAAAGCTGTTCCCATTGCTCTGGCTCAGTGAAGAGCCTGTTTTGTCACTGCAGGGATGTCATGTATTTTAAACATGTCAGAAATTGGCATCCACACTGGGTGAGTTAGCATTTGAATATCTCTGATGAATTGTTATATGTCTCTGCCTCCATGTGTCAAAATGCTGAGGTTTGCTTTTGTGTATTTAACAGATTTCCAGTCTAATCGGCTGTTATTGGAAAAGAAAGTGCTTCCAGTGTTTCACAGTTGGTGCTGTTTTTATTTACTCCCAAGTTTCACCTTTGCAATTTGATTTCAGTTTTCATGTGTCTTGATTTAGCCTGAGGTGGATGAATTAAAGTTTTTTGAGCTGAATTCTGCACGCCCATCTGCGAATGTAAATTACCCGCAGCAGTGGAGAAGCCAATAATCAGAATCAGAAGCCTCTCTCATTTGGATAATATTGACATAATTATAATTATTATTAGATTCCTAGCTTCTGCTCTGGGCTTTTTCTCTTCTTCGTGAGCAAGTGATTTCAGTGCAAAACACAGTGCTTTCTCACCAGAGGCACCAGTCTTTCTTCCTGTTGTTTTTAAAGTGTCTTCCGCTGTTTTCATCCGTCGGTCCTTCAAAAACAGATTCTCAGCAATCCAAGCAATCTGGGTGCTGTTCTGAATTCCTTTCCCTCTCTCTCTCTCTCTCTCTCTCTCTCTCTGATTCTCTCCTTAACTGTTTGATTCATCATTGTTTGTATCCACTCAAACTTAAAAATGGTTGTTCATTTCTTGGCAGTTTGTGGGACATTGTTGTGTTCAAATTGGCTGCCATGTTTGCCAACAAAATACTTCATAGCAAAAATTCCTGTGAGATGTCTTGAAGACATGATCAAGATCAAGGATTATTATCACACTATTAGCTCCAGACAGCTCGAATACACAACCTCCTAGTCATGCTAGAATCTTGATGAAAATGACTCAGAGGTCGAATGACGAGTCCAACAGCGAGTACACCTAGGCAGTGATTAAACTGCTGCTTCCTTTTTCCTCCAGACTAGTGTGTCACCTGGCTCAGTTGGTAGCATTGGCTGCTTGTTCAAGTGGACGTTAAAGATCCTGTGGCACAACTCGCAGGTGTTCTGGCCAACAAAACCCCCACTCACTCCATGGCTGTTTATAAGACTACAAAAGGCAGAGTCAATCCACTTCACATCCTGTTATGCCCTAAGGTTGTCCTCTTGATGTGAGAGGTGCTATATCAAATTTGAGGATTTATTTATTCATTTTATTCAAAACAAAATATGTTCACTAGAAAATCTTTAAAACATTTGAACAGGGGTTAAAATTCATGTCTCCCCAACCCAGGTTGACAGCATCACAGAATTGTAGCGAATGTGCAAATGTGTTCATTTTAGAGCTGATGGCCTTGCCGTAGAACCACTCACACCAGGGAATGAACACGTGGGGACTGCCTCAAAGAGGAACTGGGACATTGCTGTGCACCAAATTATCTGCTGCGTTTCACCCACAAAATGCAAAATTACTGTATTTTACACTATATCCTGTCCTGTGCTTTGAGACTCCCCCGATATGAAATGCGCTCACCAAATATAAAGAATATTACCATTATTATATGTATAACTGCCCGATTTTAAGTCTGTTCAAAATTGAAATCTCTCAGGGCCTGTTTCATTGGCCTCTGAAGTGTGGTCAAATCTCTCCTGTTTTCCCTGCAAGCCAAAACCCTAATAGGTAGAGGGGTCCAAGTTGGACAATCTACAGGAAAGCTTGCCAGACAGCGATATCAATGGCACTAAATGGTTTTAGCTGGTTAGGCTCCAGCAGTACTCCAATGCACACTCTGGTGCCCCGAAGCCTAGGCCCTTGCCAAGCTGCTCCTAATCCTTCCCAGAATTAGGTAAACAGGATGCGTCTCTCCAGAGTGTGCATTCCATTCCAATAAATACCTCGGGAAATTTCCCCGTATAGGTGAGATGCACAGTTTGTTTTGGATACTCTTAAGCGTGGTGATTGGTTTCTGCATTTATCAGATACCCGGCTGACAAAAAAAAAGTCACAACTCTCTGGTTTGCGATACCACCATATAAGTCAGTAAATAAAGTTCAAAATGTGCCATTGAAGAATTTAGCAGGGGGTAGCCAGACCCTGTGAAATGGACGACACAGTATGAACCAGTCAGTTTAATTTGGGTCATTCCCACTGTCCTGCCATAGAAAGCTCCTGAGTAATTAACACAAGTAACTTCAGCACTGAGAACATTCAAATACTGTACGATGTAGTGGCAATAATGGAGACCTGGCTCAAACAAGGGCAGGAATGGGAGATGAATATTCCTGGCTACAATGTATTCAGGAAGGATAGGGAAAGGGAAAAAGGAAGGATGGCAATATTGATTAAAGACACGGTTATGGCACTGGAAAGGGACAATGTGCTAGAGGGTCCAAAAACAGAATCTATTTGGTTAGAGTTAAGGAGCAGAAAAGAAGCTGTTGCTCTGTTAGGTGTATACTATAGACCACCAAATAGTGGGAAGGAGATAGACGAGCAAATCTTCAAGCAGATTTCAGAAAGATGCAAAACCAATAGAGTAGTGAGAATGGGGGAACTTCAATTATCCTAACATAGACTGGCAAAATAACAGTGTAAAGGGCAACGAGAGGGAAGGATTCCTGAAATGTGTGCAGAATAACTTTCTGGATCAGTATGTTTCCAGCCCAATGAGGAAGGAAGCAGTGCTAGATCTAGTTCTGGTGAATGAAGTGGGGTAAGTGTGAGCAGGTTTCAGTTGGAAAGCATCTGGACAACAGTGTGATCACAACATCATTAGGTTTAGAGCACTGATGGAAAGGGACAAAGAACAATCAAAGATGAAGATACTCAACTGGAAGAGGGCTAATCTTAGTGAGCTAAAAATGGACCTAGCCAAGTTGGACTGGAAAGAAAGATTGGCAGGTAAAACAGTTAACGAGCAATGGGAAGCTTTCAAGGAGGAGATAGTTCAGGGACAGAACAAATACACTCCCACAAAGGGAAAAGTAGGGCATCCAAACCTCCCTGGATGAATAAGGAAATTGGGATTCAAATAAAACAGAAAAAGGAGGCTTATGATAAATGTCAGGCCCAAAATTTAGAAGGTAATCAAATAGAATATAAAAAGTACAGAGGAGAACTGAAAAAGGAAATAAGTGGGACAAAGAGATTGTATGAGAAAAGATTAGAGGGTAACATAAAAGGGAATCCTAAGGTATTTTATATAAGGAATTAAAGGTTAGTCAAAGGTAGGGTGGGTCCAATTAGGGACCAAAGAGGAAATCTTCTTGTGGAGGCAGAGGGCATGGTTGACGTACTGAATAAGTACTTCGCATCTGTCTTCACAAAAGAAGAGGATGCAGCCAATGCCACAGTATTGGAGGAGAGGGTAGAGAAATTGGATAAGATAAGAATAAACCGAGAGGAGGTACCAAAAGGATTGATGTTGGTTGCTCAAGGTAGATAAGTCACCTGGTCTGGATGGGATGCATCCCAGGTTATTGAGAGTAAGGTTGGAAATAAAGGAGGCTCTAGCCACAATCTTTCAATCCTCCTTGGACACTGGAGTGGTGCCAGAGACTGGATAATAATAATAACAACAGTAATGCTTGCGTTTGATACAGAGCCTCCTCTGTACTAAAAAAGGGCAGAAGGATAAACCCGGGAACTACAGGCCAGTCAGCCTAACGTCAGTAGTGGGGAAACTTCTGGAGACTATAACCACTTGGAAAAATTTAAGTTAATAAAGGACATCCAACGTAGGTTTGTTAAAGGCAAATTTTTGATGAAGTAACAGAAAGGGTGGATGAAGGTAGTGCAGTTGATGTAGTTTATATGGATTTTCAAAAGGCGATTGATAAACAACAACAAAATTACATTTATATAGTGCCCTTCACTCTTGGGAGGAGACCCCAAATAAATAAATAAACAAATAGATAAAGTGCCACATAAGAGACTTGTAAACAAAATAGAAGCCCACGGTATTAAAGGGACAGTGGCAGCATGGGTACGGAACAGACTGGAAGACAGAAAGCAGAGAGTGGTGGTGAATGGATGTTTTTCTGAATGGAGGGAAGTGTGCAGTGGAGTCCCCCAGGGGTTATTATTGGGACTACTTCTGTTTTAGGAAGTATGTCAAGGCATTGGAGATGGTGCAAAGGAGATTTACCAGAATGGTACCAAGAATGAGGGACTTTAGTTATCAGGAGAGACTAGAGAAGCTAGGATTATTCTCCTTGGAGCAGAGACGATTAAGAGGAGACTCAATAGAAGTTTTAAAAATTAGGAGGGGATTCGATAGGATGAACAAGGAGAAACTACGTCCACTGGTGGGTGGGTCGGTAACCCGACGACACCGATTTAAATAGTTGTTAATTGAAACAGAGGGGAGGTGAAGAGAAAGTTTTTCACACAGCGAGTTGTTCGCATCTGGAATGCATTGCCTGAAAGGGTGGTGGAAGCCGATTTTGATAATAACTTTTAGGAGAGAAGTAGATAACTATTTGGGGAGGACAAGTTTGTAGGATAATGGGGAGAGAACAGCGGACTGGGATTGATTTGGATAACTCTTTTCAAAGAGCCGGCAGAGACCACGATGGGCTGAATGGCCTCCTTCTGTGCTGCTTAATTCTATGATATCAACAGATGCTGCAAAACCTAAAAATGAAGGCTTAGATGAAACAGAAATCCCAGAATTTAATGGATAAAAGATATTTATCAAATTGAATTGGATCCAACTGTCAGCGTGAAGAGAACGGTACATCCCCACAAAGTGTTCCTGACATTCCCTCTGGTTACCAGGTAGCCTGTCAGATTGGTCTGAAAAACACTGTATCCCGATTGAGAAATTGAGTGATCTCAAGTTGTGTCCAGGCCTTCAGATTTTGGCAGAGATATTAAATTGCTTGTCAATTTCACTTCTTTGCACAGCCTTCAGAAATCCATATTTACAATTATTCAGAGCTTCAGAGTTGCAGTGCTTCAGAATCGGTCTTGGGAAGGCACAAAGCAATCTGACGTGTGAGCATGCCACTATATATTCAAAAGAGAAGGCAGTTTCTCCCATGTCTTGGCCAGCAGTCTTCCAGATGAATTGATCATTATTTTGTGAGACCTTGCCAAATCTGCTGACATTTCCTTCATCTCTCTATTTCACAGTAAATGCTTGCATTTTACATTTCAACATTAAAATAAAATTGGCCACTCAATCCACGATTGTTTGTGGACACTGCTGTGTGCAATTGGCTGCCACGTTTAACCACAAAATACACTGTCAATCCACTTTACAATATATTCTGTGAACCATTTGAGACGTCTCAACAGTGTGATAAGGCGCTATATCAAATGCAAAGATTAATATTATTATATTTGACATTATTTATTGTTGAGATGTTTCTGAAGCAATCAGGTGCAATATTGAAAATGCAACTTCTTTCTTGATCACTATTGGGAGTTTCTTTCTCCTGGTGTCCAGGTCAACAATCCCCCCAGATGAAAATTTGTTACTCATTACATGACTGTTTGTGGACATTGCAGTGTGCAACTGGCTGCTGCATTTCGCCCACAAAATACAGTCACTCCACTTTACAGGATATCCTGTGAAGCGCTTTAACATGTCGACGTCGTGATACGGCACTGTATCAAACGCAAGCATTATTGTTATTATTATTATGTGCAAACACTTTCCATGCGGGCTTGTGCCCAGCCATCATTTTTCCAGTGTTGTTTTTAGAGCTTTTCTCTCCACGATAATATCATGAGAACTCCCGAATGAAATCTTGTCTTCCATCACACGTATCCCATTGTTTCTGGGGTACACGGTTCTTTTACAAGCTGCTGAAGCACTTGTTAAAAGCTCCACACAATAATATTGACAGAAACTTGTCTTCAGTCCAATTTAATACTAAAAGAGCTGTCTTTCAAAGGGAGCTGTATTCTTCATGTGCACTTGTCCTGCACATTGTCGAGTAACCTATTCTCTTCAGTGTAAAGATATCATGTAAGTGTATCCTCGCCAACAATTCCCCAAATAAAATTGTCTGCTTGCTTCATGGCTGTGCGCAAATTGGCTGTTCGCCTATAAAATACGCAGTCACTCCACTTCACAGTGTCCTTTGAGACGTCCTCCTGACATGAAAGGACTATATCAAATATAATGATTAACATAAGGATTATTGTGGCTGCATTTGACATTCGATTGATATGAAAAGTAGTCAGGAAGCACATAGAAAAGCTGATGTTTTGGCAATGGGCCAAGTTTCTACAGTTCCCAGTTTCAAATTTAGCCCTCTTGTCTGTAAGAGATTAAAAAAAAATTAATGGCAACCCATTGCACAGTTTGAATCTTACTAATCACTTTTAATAAATTATATTCATCATTTCATTGTTTTGTGTGAGACTTTCCCACGGGCATTCTGAACTCCAATCCAATGGAATATTATTTTCAGAATATGCAAGTTAAGAAAATCAAAATGGAAATTGCCTTTTCAACCTTTGAACGCTTTGAAAAGAACTGATAGGATTGTCACCCTTAAGCTCCTTTAAAGCACAGGAGACATGAGCTGCAAGCCGCAGGAGCTAAAGATGGATGTGCACAGTGAACGAAGGGAATCGGAAGCTTGGATGTCAAGTCCTCTTTTTAAAAGGAATGAGCATTTATAACTGAGCTGTGTATCTGGGCAACTGCAGAGATGTGAACCTTTGTATGACCACAAAACTCTGACCTGGTAAGAGCAGCCAACTCGTTGAAAGGTCGGCAGGTAGTTGGAATGCTATGGTAACATTGCTACCTAGAGACAGGACCAAAAACCCAAAGTAATCAGATTGCTTTATTCAAGCCGAATGTCAACTTTATGTATTCAGCAGCACTTTGGCCTTTGCAAACTGAAATTGTACTTGATTGAGGCTTGTGTTGTGTTAAGGTGAAAGGATTTCCCTTGTTTTGTACCATTGAGTTGTACTGAGCACTTTAGGTGAAAAGGCTGGTCACTTGACCTGGGTAACACAACGTGAAAGGACAGTTTGCAAAAGTGCGACTTTACTGTAAGATCAATGGGTGCTGTTTGGGAAGTAGATCCTGATACCAGAGCCGAGTCAATGGGGCCAGAGAACTTTACAGAACAGAAGGCCATTCTATTGTGTCTGTGCTGTCTCCGAAAGAGCAATCCTTCCAGCTCCATCTACCTGTCTTTTCTCCCAACTACTTCAAATAACTACTCTTTAGATATTATCTGCTTGCCTTTTGAAACCTAATTTGAATATTGCCCCAACCATGTTGCCATCTACCAGCAGAGTCAAATTGGCATTTGAGTCTTGATGTAAAGGTTGCATTGAATAATAATCAGTAACAAGGTTTCATTTCAGACCTAAGGAAGAAGCCTGGCTCCGTTCCTCGGTTTATTAACCAGTGTGTTCAATGGCTCCTCTGGAGGAATAAACGTGACATAGAGAGGGGAGCTGCGATTGATGGACCCGGTATTTGCCTTCAATCGTGTGCAGCTGGCATCTGAAATGATAAATTCCTTTTGCCATCAAAATTTGACAATGTGCTGTGGTGATGACAATGTGGCGCTTGAACCCAGTGGTTTGTGACTGAGCCATGCTGACATCTGACGTTACAAGGTTTAAAAAAAAATGGTGGTGGGTGGTGCAAACAGATTCAATAACAACTTTCAGAAGGGAATCAAATACTTACTTGAAAAGGAAAATGTTGCAGGGGTATGGGAAAAGAGCGGGAATTGGGACTGACTGGGTAACTCTTCCAAAGAGCCGGCACAGGCATGATGGGCCGAATGGCCTCCTTCTGTGCTGTAATATGCTATGATTCTATCTATGTTTTAAAAGTATTTAAATACATTTTACACACAGTGCAAGTCTACAATGGCAGTGCCTCATGCTCCTGATGGCTCGGTTTCAGCTCACCGTGTCACTTGAACATGTGTGACCCACTCTTCCCAACCTCCAAAATAATTATTATCATTGTTAATCCCATTAACTGATGACTACGGTTTCCTTCCTAAATCAAGCAAAATTAAACTGTGCCCACGAGCACGGGAAATAAAAACTCGGTCAGGCTGAACTGTCTTTCCAAAAGAAACTCCCTTCTCTTTTTAAATAGTGCCATGGGATCTTTAACGTCCACCTGTTGGCATCAGGACCTCGGTTTAAAGTCTCATCAGGAGGAGGGCAACTCCAACAATGCAACGCACGTCCAGCGCTGCATTGGAGTGTCAGCTTAGACCATGTGTTTACAAGTCCCTACGTGGGGCTTGAACCCATAACCTTCTGACTCAGAGGCAAGAGTTATCACTGGGCCAGGCTGACAGTGTGCTTGGAGGTCGTCTGGCCTAACATCTCTCTGTTCTTTCTTTCCTCGCAGGCAAACTTGTGCTTTGTGGATATTGACAACCACTTCATTGAGCTTCCAGAGGACTTCCCGCAGTTCCCCAACAAATTGGAATTTATTCAGGAGATCTCAGAGGTGCTGCTCCAGTTTGGTATCCCACCGGAGGGGAACCTTCACTGCAGTGAAAGTGCCACCCAGCTGAAGAACCTGGTGCTGGATGACCTAGCCAATGACAAGAAGAACGGAAACCTGACCAGCGAGACTATCAACATGTACCAGTTTCTGGAGGGCAATGAGACCTTGGCCCGCCTTCGGGCCTTGGCCAAGCGAACAGGGGTGACTGTGGACAAAGTGGAGATCTCGCGCCCAGTGGCGGCGGAGAGAGTGAAGGACACCAAGTGGCAGTGCCCGGAGGAAGACGTACTGGACTACAGGCTGAACGTGCAACTCCGCGAGGTCTTTGCCAACCGCTTCACTCGGATGTTTGCAGATTACGAGGCCTTCGTCATCCAACCAGCTCAGGATATGGAGTCCTGGCTCACCAATCGAGAGCAGATGCAGAATTTTGATAAGGTAATTGATTGCACTATTTACCCCCTCCCCCACACATACATACACACACACATTGAATTTTTGTACTTCTTAGCCATGTAAATCACTTCTGCTGCACATAGGCTTGTAGCTCAGTGGTCAGAGCACTCGCTTGGCAAGTGAAAGACCTGGGTTCGATTCCCAGCAGGGCTAAACTTTGGGCAAGTTTCCTTACTCCACACGCCTGATAGTAATCCCTCAAGAAAAAAAAAATTGGTCACTTCAATCTATGATTGTTTCTGGGACATCCTCCCGACGTGAAAGGCACTCAATAAATGGAATTTTGTTGTTGTTGTTGACCGTCAAGGATTTGCATCCGAGCTGGGTGTTGGGATCAGGGAGGGTGGGGGTAAGAGGGTGACTGAAGGCTCGGTCGAAGACGAGGGTCTTGAAATATGCCTTGAAGGTGGCAAGGAATGAAATGAGGTGAAGGATGGAGTTCCAAAGTAAGGGAGTGAAAAGTCTGGAGTCCCAATTGCCAATGGAGGGACGGGCAGGGCGGGGGCATGGAGCAGATTGGAGTCCACTGAGTGAAGAGAGCAGACAGGTTGGCATGGTCACAATGCTGCGTGATCTGTGTTCTGATGTTAGCTGTAAATGCTGAATCACGAGGACTTTTGTTTAAAAAGAAACAGTGCAACTAAACAACCGTTCTCGGTGTCTTTCCACCTTTAGCCGTCCTGAATGGGTGAGAAGGCTAGAACGAGATGAGGCAGACAATTTTGGGCCCAATTGGCAAATGCAAGCAGAATTTTCATTTCATTTTCATTCAGCACTTGTGATGCAAGATCTCATTGATAGCAGTAAACAAGACTTCCACTTTCACTCGCAAACAGCAAATGTTTGCACCCCCCCCCGGCCTCTTGTGTCGCCTACATATAACTTATATATGTCGACATATTTCAGCTTTAATGCTCGTTTTCAAACATGAAATAGTGAAATTATGTGTGATGTTCAGTTCAGTTGATGATAAATGTGCAGCTGTTGCTAGTATCCGAGATGCTACCCCTCGTGAAGGGTGCTATATAATTTCAAGTTGTTGTCTTTCAGGGCTACTTTACCAATGTAATATAGTGTTCTGCGATAGGAACGCTCTTGGGCAGGTTACAACATGAAAGAGTTTGGGGGACAGTGCAGAGAGGAAGAATTTTCTCAGACTGAGATTTTGCACAAAGAGTAACTTGAATGATGGCTTTTGAGACGTGCAGTTACGGAGAGGGGATTTATGTCACTGTTGGTAGTGACACAAATCCTCACTCCTTCAGAGGATGTGCCCGGCATTCATGGGATCATGCTGTTGAGCATCACCAAGCTGCCTCACCAAGACTTATTTACATCGGGACTTTTTGCTCATACGCCAGGCTGACACTCCAGTGCAGCGGTGGGGTAGCACTGTGTTGTCTGAGGTGCCATTCTTTGGATAAGATATAAAACCGAAATCCTGTTCAGGTAGCTGTTAAAGATGTTTATGTCTTGTCCTTCGTATGAGACATTAAACTGATGTCCCTTCTGCCTGTTCAGATGATTGTTAAAGATCCCATCTTACTCGAAAAGAGAAGGGAGTTTCTCCCGGTGTCTTTGCCAACAATCCCCCAAATAAAATTGGTTACTCACTCCACAGATGTTTCTGTGCGCAACTGGCGGCGGTGTTTTGCTCACAAAATACACAGTCAATCCACTTTACAGTATATCCTGTGAAACGATTTGAAACATCTCAATGACTTGATGAGATGTTATATCAAGTGCAAGGATTATTATCATCCTATGGCATGCTTTCAAAAGGGAGTGAACAATCTATGTCACTTCCTGGTTGTTTGTGGGATGTTGCTGTGCACCACATTGGCTGCTGGGTTTGACCGGAAAATACAGTCACCACAGTCTACAGAAACCTTGTAAGGTTTATCCTTGTCATTATTACTTAGGTGCTGAAATGAAATATTGAAAGATGAAAGCCAACAATAAGGAAGGACTGTTTGCAGTAGATCTTCACCAAATGTGGGCAGGAACATTGAGGGCATTTTGCTTCTGGAAGCATGTCCAATGTAAAGCACAATATAAATAAGGTGGTGTTTGTTTGTTTGCTTGAGGTGCACATGGCGATTACACTTCTCAAACATTCTTTCCTTTCTTGCCTGTTTAAGATTCTTGGCTGCCCTGCAGGTCAATATTAGTGTCACCGCACAATTGATAGATGAGGCACAGTGCTCTCTCTTCCTGTTGATGACCTGGTCAGTCTGTGGCATTGTTTCTCAGGGAAACCAGGATGAGCAAGTGGATTGAAATCTTGTAACAAAAGGAAACCCGCCAGTCAGTGCTGATGTCACTGCTGCCTGAAGAAATTGTCTGACAACTCCTTCATTTCAACAAATGACTCATTACAAATCCTCTTCTGTTTAGGCAGCGCATCGTATAATCTTTTTGTCCAGAGCTGAAAATGTTTCCTGACACATCCGAGAGGCACAGTGTCTCGCAACACTTCCAGACAATGACTATGGCTTTTGTTCAAAGCATGGACATTGATGCAATCAATCTGGACCTGGAATAATCCTTTTTATGCAGTAAACTTTATTAGTGCCCTACCACATTGTTTAGACATCTCTCATTTGGTTACATAGGAATGAATGTATCGTGCTGTGAAGGTGAATGTAGAAGCCAATTTACCACACGGGAATGTGCCACAAACAGCCAAGATCCATCTTATCTGCATGTTTGTCAGTTAGGACACCGAGGGAAACTCCCTTCTCTTTTCGAATAGACTCATGAGATCTTTAACGTCCACCTGAACAGGCAGACTGGGCCTCAGTTTAAAATCTTGATATAAGAGCACAATGTCAATGCAAAGCTGTATCTGAACAAATTATTAATTCATGGCCAGGATCAAATTTCTTTCCAGCACACAGAATATTTTAGCAAATATTTTTTAACTGCATGCCTGGATCTATTTTAAAATGCAGATTTCCACCAACACCACTTGGCATGTTTCCTTAAGGAAGTTCAGATATGAAGTCTTCTGAATTATACATTATTTAATCTTTCCTTTGTGCAGAAATACGTGTTTCCCAAGAGAAAGTGGAATTGGACAGTGTGTGATCATGCAATCCTACTTTTGAACTTCATCCTTCAGAAAGGACCCTTTCATGAATTTGCCTGGGATCAAAACTCGGGGGATTGCTTCCAGATTTTTATGCTTTCGTTTTATATATTTGCATAAAAATAAAATCACATCTCAGAAAAAAATTAGATTGCTTACCCTATCCCTGCCTCCAGTTGCAGTTTAAGAAGCAAATTCACTTTTAGATCAGCTTGGAATTCCAGCTTCTTTATCCAGATAATAATAATAGTCCTTGCATTTGATATAGCTTATTATCAAGTCATTGAGATTATCAAGTCATAGAATATATTGTGTATTTTGTGGATGAAATGCAACAGCAATGTCCCACAAAAAGTTGTACCAAATTTTGAGGGATTATTACCTCCCGATAGCGATCTGCCAATCAATTAACAACCGGTTTCATACTTACTGTTAGGTAAACAGAACCGTGTGGAGTAACGAAACCCGCCTAAGGTTTCGCCCTGCCCAAGAATCGAACCCAGGTCCTCTCGCTCTCGAGGCGAGTGCTTTAACCATTACGCTACGGGGCTCCCAATTTCCCATAATTTCCTAAATTTTGTCAACTCAGTCTAACAATCACATAAAAGAAGGTCTTTGGTCCATGGAACCCAGGCTCCTTTTGTTAGGTCCCAGCACTATGTTACTGTGATGATGGATGAAGGGTTGCGTGAACAATCAGTGGGCTGATAGGACATTTCTATTAGCACTCTAGAGGATTTTCTCCTTGTCCATATGTGCTTCCCATCAACTACATGGTGAACGTCATGAGGCATCCATGATGATCTGCTGTGTATGACTGTCTCACGCTGGCTCAATTGATAGCGCTCTCGCCTCGAAGTCGGCAGGTTGTCAGTGCAAGCCCACATCGAGACTCGGAACCCCTATCATCTATGCAGACACTCTGAAGGGTTGTCGGAGTTCTGTATTGTTGGAGGAGCTGAAGACATTAAACTGAGGTTTCCGTCTGCCTGTTCAGGTAGACGTTCAAGATCCCATGGCATCATTTGAAAAGAGAAAGGAGTTTCTCTCTCCTGGTAACCTGGCCAACATTTCCCCAAGTAAGATTGGTTCTTCACTCTGTGTGCAAATTGACTGCTACATTTGCACCCAAAATACACAGTCACTGCACTTTACAGCATATCCTGTGAAGCGCTTTGAGATGTCTTGACATCATGATGAGGTGCTACATTAAAGATAAGAATAATAATTATTACTCAATAGGCAACTAACATCGCAAATATAGTATTATTTCCACAGCACAACCCATCTGTGCTCAGGGAAAGATCAGCTATTTTGATAAATCAGGACATTTGTAGTTTAATTGAAGCGCTATCTAAAACTAAAATAAAAGGTGGATAAACTCAGCCAATGTAGGAGAAACTGAAACATCAAAGATTTGTTAAAAAAACGGTCTTTGAGAGATATGTATATGAGACTTAAAATGTAACTGATTGTTTTTTACTTTCAGGCTTCGTTTCTCTGTGACCAGCCAGAACCCTCCCTCCCCTTCCTCTCTCACTTCATCGAAACCCAGATGTTTGCCACTTTCATTGACAACAAAATCATGTCTCTGTGGGAGGAGAAGGACCCCCTGCTCCGAGTGTTCGATTCAAGAATCGAGAAGCTAAGGATGTACAATGTTCGAATCCCTACACTCCGCACCTCAAACTACCAGAAATGCACGGTCTTAAAAGAAGCTGGTGAGTGCAGGTTTTCTCTTCTTCACTCTCTCTCTTTCTGGTCATTCTTTATTCCGTTTTATTTTTACACTTTCTTCTGATGAGATGTTAAACTGATGTTAAATAATCATCTACCTGTTCAGGACTTACTCGAAAAGAAAAGGGAGTTTATCTCTCCAAGTATCCCGGCCAACAATACGCTAAGTAAAATTGGTCTCTGACTCCATGGCTGTTTGTAGGACATTGATGTGTGCAAATTGGCTGCCACATTCTCCTACTAAATAGTCACTCTGCTTTACAGTGAATCCTGGGAAGTGTTTGAGACATCCTCCCGAAATTTAGGGAGTATTATTATTAAGACATGATTTATTCCTTGTACTCAGTGGAAACTGAAACAGCATCCGCACAAAAATCGATTGTTGCATCCATTAAGGCCATTAAAACCGCATGTCACAGTGGATTCATTGAACTGTGAATCAGTGGAGAGCGGTGTCTCTTGACTGATAATAATCCTTGCATTTCATATAGCGCTTTATCATGCCACTGAGACGTCTCAAAGTGCTTCATACAATGTACTGCAAACTGTATTGACTGTGTATTTTGTGGGTGAAACACGGCAAACAATTGCGCACAGCAGTGTCCCATAAACAGTCGTGGAGTGAGTGACCAAATTTGTTATTATACATATTTTTTATTTGGATGATTTTTATTACACCTGGAAAATAATCCGCCAATCGACTAACATCTGGGTTCCTGCTTACTGCTAATTAAACAGAACTGCTTGTATATTTGCACTATGCTCAGATGACAAACAGTAATTTACTAGATGAACGAAGGCAGTATGAATTGTCTTTCTCAGTAAATAATCATACGAGCAAGGAGCAAATCCTTTTCTTCATTTATTTTCCCATACTTTGTGTGAGCTGATCATTCACTAGTGGAATGGAAAGTCCATTGTGATCGAATTTCTCTGAATGTTCAGAAAATCGGTCGGGAAAAGTGAGCAAAATGGTTTGTGAGGATAGATCGTAGATGTAACACTGTTCTTAACATGGCCTTTCATGATTATAAATTTACATGTGCAACTCATCGGCATGAAAGTTTTACAATTGGTTCTTGAAAAAGACCAAGAGACTCCTCTCCTCTTGGAACAAATTACTTTTTCGTATAGGCTTAAAACCTAACTGCTCCCGTTCTCTGGAATTTCATCCTGGAGACTCTCCAATTTGCTGTCTGTCTCACATCTTTCAAGATGTGTCTCTTTAATCACTCCTTCGGTTAACTTTCGCATCCCACCCCCTCGGCTCCACCACCAGCTCGGGTGCAAGCCAGGACTGTCTTCCCGACGTGAAAGGTGCTATATAAATGAATTTGTATTTTATTATGTTGTCTGTTTAGTGATGGAGGCCAGGGTTCAAATGGAGGCAATGTGGCAATGGAATCATTCCTTGTACTCAGTGTACTCCTTGACCCACAGCCTTGTTCAGTTGCCTTTGGGTGTTCATTGTGTCTCCATATAACCGAGTTGTTTCAAAGCTGTGAAGCTTTACAGGATGGTGGATAGGCTTCTTCTCATTCAACCTTGCTTTTTAGAACATTTCGCATATCAAGGGTAAAGTGTATAAAAAAACCCTGATAAAGGGTGCTTTCATCTGGTGCATTCAGCAACGAAATGACCCCCTCAATGACCAGGGAGTCTCATTTGAGCGCCAAGATGTTAGGATATAATTTAATTCCGTCAAGTGCCAGGAATTTCCTTGTGTGTCCCTGACGATCCCTGTCCCACTCGTGCCCCACTTGAGACCATCTCTGATAAACTCTCTCAGGATGGAGTGGGGGATGAATAAATCACAATAGAAAAGCAGCAGAACTTGCGGGAAGCATAACAAAGCAATCTGCTTAACAAATTATTATGCTAAAGCCCCAGTAAAATCCTTAATCGTGCGAGAAAATATTGTCGAGTGTGTCGATGTTCCAGAATTTTCCTGATGCAAGGGGATTTATGTTCTCTGAGATGTTTGAAGTGCTGGCAGCTAATCTCTTTTCAGGACATCAATAAAGCACGATCATCAATGAAGAAAATGTGAGAGAATGTCACACATGCTTTTTATCCGCAGACATGTGGCTTGTTCAAAGGCTAACATCAATCGACATCCTGGTGCCAGAAGCCCATGTGCTTTCCTCAGAAGACCAGGGCCAGACCGAATGTAACAAAACTTCCATTATGTTTTTTCACCACTAATTCTGTGGGTGATGGACTGTATCACTTGTCCCCTAACAATTAGAAACTATAGGGTTTATTCAGTGTAAGGCCAATAACACACACAATAACCACCTCGGGTTCCACTTTCATTTAGTGAAATAATTTAGACTTGTTAAAATTTATTCTAAATCAAATTCGTCAAAGAGAAGCAAATGTGTCTTAATCTCAAGCTTAAATGAAAGGAAGGTTTTATCTTTATACAGTTCAGTACAGAAATTCACTCAGGTTTTATTTGTTTAATAAACATACATAGTACCTTGCAATATAAACGTGACCCTACAAAAACAGATAAAGGATTTAGTTTTCCATGCTAGAAGATTTTTCAGAGAACTGTTTTCAGAGAACAGTGGCACATATTGTCCACCCCTCCCCTCACCCCAAACAAACAAACAAACAAACAAACAAACAAACAAACAAACAATGGAATTACAAGTAAAAGTCTGTTCCCCTTTGCTTCGGGCATCATGTTTCCATTCTGATGTTTGAGGACTTTGGGTCAGATGTTTATTCTCGCCCACTCAGTGCACAAATGTGTGAGTTTCACAGTGGCCTCTATCTCGCTTTGAATGGAGTGGAGCAGCCATGGTTGCCCTCTATAGAGAGATTGTTGGTGTGTGAAATTTCAATTTGGTGTAACTTCTTTATTGTAGCTGGTTAATGATGTATGTCCATAAATTAAATTAACACCAACGATAAGCTCCTTGGTTCCCTCTACATATCAATCTCGTCTCCATTTTTGATATCACTGCCCACCCAGTGTAACACCAAATAGTGTAAGTTTTATGAGTTTGGATCACCTTTTTGGTTGGCCAACAAAGTAATCATAGAAATAACAAAAAAACAAAGATTTATGCTATAATTCTAGAAATATTCAATCAAGAGACATTTATTTTTGTTGGCCAACCCGAGAGTTTGGTCACCATTGGTCTAGATTAACTCGATTTACGGATATACAAAATAAATCCCAAGGGTGAATGCAACAGAACAGAAGATACCAGGTTCGACTTTTCATTCTTTCACTCTTTGAGAGAATGCCCAATGCTTAAGGTCCAAATAAGCTCTTGAATTTTCTTCCTCATTGCTGCAAGTTAGTTTTCAACAGTGGGGCTCTCTTACAAAAATTCTAACTGGGCTCTGCATCTTGAGGTATAAAAGAGCTATATATTCTAAAAATATATTGCTGATGAAAATGACAGCTTTTCCTTCATACACAGTCAATGTGAAGTTGCTATTTAGAAGGCTAATTTGCCTTCTTTGGCTGATAAAAGGTAATGTATGAAAGTAGAGTTGAGGCACTCTGCTGCTCACTTGTGTCACCGATGGAAATAGCATGTTCCTGGATGAACTGAAAATCCAAATAATAATAATAATCCTTGCATTTGATACAGCACCTTATCACATTGTTGAGATGTCTCAAAGCGCTTCTCAGAATATACTGTAAATTTGTTTGACAACCGGGTTCCTACTTACTATTTATTTTCGAAGCTCAGGGACTCATGCCACATTAACATTGCGGTGATCCTGAAATTCATGCTGAATTACAATTTCTTTTCACTTCGTTGATCCAGAGGCTCTATACTGAAAGAAAAGTCCTGTGCGGGCAACTCAACCAGGCTTAATGGATGCTTTTTAATAAAAAGCAAGGAAAAGCTAATATGACACAGCAGCAGCTAAAGTTTAAGATTTTCTTTTTCCCTGCATAACACATTTCAAATCTGGTCGGACAAATCGGATAATTCAAGGGCAGACAGACCTTGAATTATACAGTTATAGTTAGGAATTGGAACATGAAAGCCAGATTTGCTCAACAGAAAAAGCTCTTTTGGCCATCGTATATGTAAAGGAATTTGCCTTTTTCAATGATTAATTCTATTTTCCTTCCCCATATTTCATCAGCAAGCACCCAGCCAGTCCCTAGTCAGGAGCACAGATGGACTGTACCTCTGCTATTCAGGCTCAGCAACTCACTGGTCCTAATAGTCAGTACTTTGGACTTGTCCCTTCTCTCGCCTTCTTCAAGGTCCACCTCAAGACTTTGTCTTTGACTGTGCTTTCTGCTATCTTCCCTCCGCACCCCTCACCAACCCCAGTTTGGGTGCAAATCATGGACTGTCCAGTGCTTTGGGATGTCCTCCAGACGTGAAAAGCACTGTATGATTGCAATTTGTTGTTGTCATAAATCTTTGTTATTCAACTCTCGGTGCACAAGTGGAGAAAGGAGTAAACCTTGGAATTAGTATTATTTACCATTTATATTATATTTGTATTATACATCAGTGCAATTTATTACTTATTGAAGTCAACTGGAACAAAACTGATTTCGGTTATATGGGTTACCAGGAAGGGCAGTGCAGGCCATGACATTGGATTCAATAGAGAGCAAACAATTTGAAGGACAAAACATTTTCATGTTTTATGTTCAGATCAGTATCCTAGCTTAAACCTTTGAAGCGTGACAGAGAATGGAGAAGGTGAAGATGAAGGGAACAGCCCATGTGGATTGAACTAAATGGTTGATTTTGAGGGTGAACTGTCTGGATGTTCATCTGTGCCTGTTCAGGTGAACATTCAGAAGATCGCATGGCATTATTCAAAGGAGAAGAGAATTGTTTCCAGTGACTTTGTGGTGTTCACCTCTCCCCTTGGCTTGGCAGGGCACTTATCGATTGCATTGTCTTGCCTTGCGATCACTGGGACTCACCTTGTTGCACCTTGTAATTGTATCACGCAGCCCAAGCTATTGAGCAGCGACTGGTGAAGATTGACCACACTGCCATCCACCCCCATTTACTGGACATGAAGATTGGACAGGGCAAGTATGAGCAAGGCTTCTTCCCCAAGCTGCAGTCTGATGTCTTAGCATCGGGGCCAACAAACAACAAGTAAGTGTAACATTATACTTTAGTTACTTTTGGCTTCTTCCCCCATTCTCCTGCCTCCATCTTAACGAGAGGCTTGCGATTATACAACCAGAGCAGCACTTATCTACTGATGACTACTCTTCATTCATATGGCATTATTCAAACGAGAAGATAATTGTTCCTAGTGCCCTGACTGTCTGTGGGACATTGATCAGTTCAAATTAGCTTCCGTTTCACCTACAAAATACAGTGACTACACTTCACAGTAAAGCACTTTGAGATATCCTCTGACGTATATATTCAAGTGCAACAATTGGTTATTACTACCCAGTCATTCAAACTATTTAATAATAATCCTTGCATTTAATATAGTGCTATATCACGTCTTCCAGACGTCTCAAAGTGCTTCACAGAATATACTGGAAAGTGAATTGACTGTATATTTTGTGGGCGAAACACGGCAGCCAATTGCGTGCTACGAATAGCCGTAGATTGAGTAGCCAATTTTTTTGAGGGCTTGTTATCCGGAGGAAGCAATCTGACAATTGACTAACAAACCCGGATTCCTACTCTCTGCTAGGTAAACAGAGGTGTGTGGAGTAAGGAAACTTGCCTGAGGTTTAGCCCCATCTAGTAATCGAACCCGGGTCCACTCAGTTGCAAGACGAGTGTTCTGACTTATACGTTACAGGACTCCACCATTACCTTTACAAATCTTCCTTTCACAGTCGATGGGCAAATCGAAGTGCCACAGCCCAGCGAAGAAAAGATCGTCTGAGGCAACATTCAGAGCATCTTGGACTGGACAACGATCTGAAAGAGGTACACAGTGACCCCCTCTATTCTCAGGATCATAGTCAGGGCAAAGGAGAGGCTTGTGTCTTTGAGGGCAGGACTATGGAAAATTCAGCATCTGAACTCGTAATAGATATTTTACCAATTTTGATCCAAAAAAATCAAGCTTTTCTGGCATCTATAATTTCGAGTGTTTGAGATGAGGATATAAATGCAAGTGCCCATGTGTATTGCGTTTCCATGTTCAGTAGCACTCATTCTCACCTCATTCTGAGGTGTTTTTTTATCCAACATTTCACCAAGTTTGATGCAAGAGAAGATCAAATCCGAGTTTCATGTGATTATATTATGCAGTAACCGAGTTAGTAGCTCAGTGGAATATTAAATGGCCTTGCAGCTCTGCAGTGAATGTAAACTGCACATTTCGAAGAATATGTGAAAGAGGATTTCAGTGCATGATAGCTTTAATGCACCAACTTGTGCCGAGGTTGATCCCAGTGCACTTTGAGCAGGCGCTTGAAAATGCCACTCCCTCACTCTCAACCCTAATCACATGTTGCTCAAAGGCAAGAGAATGCAAAGCAATTCATGCAACTTAACCTTTGAACTACGGGTGGGGGTGGGGGGAGGAATGAGCAAGGCATCATTGAAATCCATTTGTTTGATAATAGAGTTCACCTGGCTCAACTCACATTTTTAAAAATCAAAATATGATTTGCGTTTCTCTTTGGGGCACTTGTACAGACAGTATCTGTTCTTGGATCCCAGGATTGACCTCTGCACATCTTTGCAGTCCTGCAGGGATGCCCAGTGGTGCACGTTGAGTGATTTTCGGGCCCTTTTGACACAGTTAGTAGGTAGGGGCATTTATTTTGCTGCGAGAGGGGGAATATGACAGTAGTGGCATTATATGCAAAGCCACAGCGACGTTTTTGTGAGCGAGTGGCATTTTCTCTAGCAAATAACGTTGCCTACTTAGATAAAGAAAAGCTTTGGCGACTGACCCTTTGATCATCTCACACAGTCTGTGTTTTAATGTAAGAATCATCAATCTTGTCTATTTCATTGTTCCCGTTGATGAAGTTACATCAACGTTTACATCAATGTTTGATGATGAAGGTTTGCTTTTGAACTCGGTTTTACCTCAAATCGACTGGTTTCAGAACACGTAACCAATTGCAAATTAAAGTCAACCAGTACTGGGGCCTTCTGACAACAGTTAGCTTTAGAAACAAGTGAAAAACTCCACTTTGCAAATTTCCAGCCATTGCCAAATTATTTTTGCCAAACTACTGGATTATAATATTTGAATCGAATACAGGAGTCTGGGGAAAGGACAGGTAAATACGACTGCAAGGATTGCTTTTGAGGGAACCGGCACAGACACGATGGGCGGAATAATCTTCTGTGCCGTAAAATTCTATTGTTCTGCAGTTTTAATATCTTCACTTCCTTTAAGTATCAGATCATCCTCTGCCTCTAGCGTTTCAAATCTGGCCCAATTTTTTTAGAAAAGTTTTTAAAAAATTTACGTTGTGGTACAGAATTTCCACCTGGTCCAGATTTACTGTATTCAGGGTAAGCTCAGAATTTGGCAAGTTGTTAAATGCAGCCTTTGTTTTGAAGCTGGTTTTCTTCAAGATCTTTTAAGAACTGAAGTTATTAAATTGAGGCCCCGACTGCTTGTCGGGTGGAGGTTAAGAACCATAGCACTATTCAAAAAGAGAAGGGGGTTTCTCTCTCGCAGTGTCCTGGCCAGTCATTTCATGGCTGTTTGTTAGTTGCCGTGTTTGCCTCCCAAATGCAGTCGTTACACTTTACTCCACTACTTGCTGTGCGCAATTAGCTGCCGCGTTTCGCCCACAAAATGTACAGTCAATTCACTTTACAATATATTCTGTGAAGCGTTTTGAGATGTCTAGAAGACGTGAAAAGCGCTATGTCAAATGCAAGGATTATTATTTATTATTATTATATATAGTAGACTTTACAGTAAATCCTGCAAAAGGCTTTGAGACATCCTCCCGATGTGAAAGGTGCTATTTCAGATGTAAGAATTATCACTTTTTTTTATGATTAAGCAAACTGTATTGAAATGTAAGACTGAATTGAGTAATGTGCAGAATTATCTGCACTGCACATTTACTCTAAATTGAGTAAATAGAGACCCAGGGGGAATTTCTCCCCTAAAAAAATGATGAACCCGAGCTGCCTGGCACAACGACCACAAGATCACAGAAGCTTGATTGAAATGAGTTTTATTTTCAGCAAGGTGTGTAAATAATAATCCTTGCATTTGAAGTAGCATCTTATCAGGTTGTTGAGACGTCTCAAGTGCTTCACAGGATATATTGTAAAGTATTTTGTGAGCGAAACAGCTAGTTTGCGCACAGAAATGTCCTACAAATAGCCATAGAGTGAGTGACCAATTTTAACTCGGGGATCGTTGGGTATGACAACTGGAGAAACTCCTTTCTCTTTTCGAATAGTGCCATAGGATTTTTAATGCTCCCCTGAACAGGCAAATTGGACCTCGCAATGTCTCATCGGAAGGATGGCACCTCTGACAATACAACACTCCTGCAGTACTGCACTGGAGTGTGATTCCAAGTCCCAACATGGGGCTTGAACCCATAACCTTCAAACTCAGAGGTTACCACTGCGCCAGACTGACAGCAGAATGATATCATGTATTTGTATTTGCTACGCTTGTTGCAAGTTTCTGCTCTCCATCACTTTGGATGGTCAGTGCCCCTTGAAGCTCTGTATTTTTAAGCCCCTTTCAATCTTGGATGTGCTAATGTTATGTGCGAAACAAGATCTTCACTGTAACTTTACAACACTTAAAAAAATGAGTTCAAACCCATTAGTTTTCAAAATCCAACCTTCACCACTGTTTCTGATTCTTTGCGAATAATTTTTGTTCTTTTTCTGTCTGTTCTTTTACTTTCTTGTTTCTTTCCTTTTTTTTCTGCGGCTTCCTGTGCATGCTCATTTGCTTTCCGTTTCTCTCGGGGTGCATCTGGCCGATTCAGCCAAGACAGGTGCTCCTGCTCCAGCAGAACTCTATGGTATTCTGGGAGTGGGATCAGGGCCCACCCCCACCCACGCGACCTCCTAAAAAATCGTTCTCTGAGTGCTCTCTGGTATGTTGTGTGAGAAATGTATCTAAAGGAGTGTAGAAAGAGGCTGCCACATCTCACTGCTTTGATTCACGGTTTTGATCTGTTTTTACGTGTCGAATTAGCACAAACAATTTCTATATTTGCTTAAAGTGATCTGGAAGTGTCCATTAAGTCACCTCAAAACCTCTCAGAGACTTTTTCATTCATTTCTTTGAATGATGCTGTTCCTCAGTTCCTCAGTCCTATAGGCTTGCGTTGACTTGGTGTTGGATGAAAATATCCAGTAAACGAACACACTGATGTGCCCTAGCGCTTTAACCCGACGAGCCTACTTCAAAGCACTAACCCCTCAAGGAAGTTTGAAGTATTTTACTCACACTCACTGATGTTCGTTTCACTCAACCTAACACGGTCATTGTACAGAGAGCTGGGACAGTGGCTACATATTGTGTGTTTCAAAATTGCATCCATCCCTTTGTTGACAAAAAGCTTTTTTGTGAAAGTTATGGTGAGACTTCTCAATGACGTAATAATGCTATATCAAATCAAGTCTTCTTATATTATAACAATAATAATAATCCTTGCATTTGATATTGCATCTTATCACATCTTCGAGATGTCCCAAAAGAATATACTGTAAAGTGAATTGACTGTGTATTTTGTGGGCAGAATACTGCAGCCAATTGCGCACAGCAGTGTCCCACAAATAGTCAAGACCCGAGTGATCAATTCTTTGGGGGATTGGAGGGATTATTACACCCAGAAAGTGATCCACCAATCTACTAACAACTGGATCTACTTACTGATAAGTAAACCTAGGCATGTTGAGTAAGGAAACTTGCCTAAGATTTTGTCCCGCCCGTGTATTGAACCTGCATCCTCTTGCTTGCGAGTTGAGTGTGCTAACCACTACACCTTGGGACTCCATGTGTTCACTTCGGTCTTGCAACACCGAGCCGCTACTCTGCATGAAGTGTGCAGTGTAAATGCTAGTTGTTGTTGATGCCCTGATGGGGAATTACCCATTGTTTCTAAATACCAACAATATATATTTGCATAGAGCCTTTCACGTCCCATTCTCCCATTCTTACCGAAACAAAATAAATGTCAGTGCATTAAATATCCAATGAATGCAGTCATGCACATATCTCATTCAGTTCTGCTCTTCAAAGACCCCATTGATTATCTCAGTAATAAAGCTGTTTACCAGAATAGTCTGCAAGGCTTTGAGGCTTCTGTTCAATACGATATTTTGTATAAGATTAGATGTAGGTTAAAACGTTGCTTTAAACACGTTTGCTCTGGTCAGCAGAAATACATTCAAGAAGCCCGGAGCTTTGGGAAGAGCCTTAGGCAGCCAAAGCTGTCAGATCTGTCGCCTGCTGTCATCGCACAAACCAATTGGAAGTTTGTTGAAGGACTGCTGAAAGAATGTCGAATGAAGGTAACTTTTTGTTCACGAGGATCGGGGTAGACAAGAAATGAATTCTTTCTCTTCCTCATCTTAATAATAATCATTAATAATCCTTGCATTTGGGATAAAGCCTTATCACGTCGTCGAAATGTCTCTAAGCGCTTCACATGGTATACTATAAAGTGGAGTGATTGTATATTTTGTGGGTGAATGCGGCAGCCAGTTGCATACAGCAATGTCCCACAAATATCCATGACCAATTTTATTTAGTAGATTTTTTAGCCAGGACACCAGGAGAAATTCCCTTCTTTTTTCAAATAGTACCATAGGATCTTTAACATCCATCTAAACAGGCAGTCGGGACCAATTGTGCCAATTGTGCACAGCAGAGTCCCACAAACAGTCACAGACTGAAGTGACCAATTTATTATTATTATTTTTTTTGAAGGAATTATTATCCCTGGAAATGCAATTCGCCAATCGACTAACAACCTGCTTCCTACTTACTGCAGGGTAAACAGAGGCATGTGGAGTAAGGAAACTTGCCCAACATTTCGCCCTTCCAGGAATCAAACCCAGGCCTCTTGCTTGCGAGGCAAGTGCTCAGAGCTACAGGACTCCATATCTCTGTTTTCACTGAACAAAAAAAGTGGGTCAAATTCACATCTGAGACTCAGCAGTGAGTGATACCCCAAGGATTGGAATCCTGGCACAATATTTAAACCTATCTCCGCCCCCCTCCCCCCCTCACAATCACCAGTCCAGCAGTGGAGGCCACTTAATCTAACACCTTGTGCTGACTCAGCACAAAGCTGTTACCATTCAACTCTTGTTTGTTATCCATCTGGAAGGCCAAGAGGAGGGAGATTTAATTTATGTAAAAACTGAACAATTTAGCCCCCCCCAATCCACTCTGCCACTCTGTTTCATTTTCAGTGTAATTCAGGTTCAGAAAGTGATTTTTTTCTTCTTCTAATCCGTTCCTCCACAGAACCAGTCAAGTGTTCAAGTATAAATGAGCAGCAGCTTTTGGGACTGGAATGTCAATTCACATGTATTCTTTTCCAGACCAAGCGGATGTTGGTGGAAAAAATGGGGCATGAGGCTGTGGAGCTGGGGCACGGGGAGGCCAACATTACAGGCCTGGAGGAGAACACACTCATAGCCAGTCTGTGTGACCTCCTAGAGAGGATTTGGAGTCACGGACTGCAGGTCAAGCAGGTAAGCCAGTGATGGACAACCTTTTTGGTCGGCCAACAAAATACATTTTCCCTCCCTTGAAACTTGATTTGTTTCATAAATTAGACTAGTGCAATGTTTGATGGACCACATCTTGACGGCCCTGAGGCCACTACTGGGCCGTGGGCCATGGGTTGGCCACCACTGAGGTAAACATCACTCAGACATGTTGTACTGCCAATTTTGATCAATCAATCCATCCATCCATCCATCCATCCATCCAATTAATCAATCAATCAATCAATCAATCAATCAATCGTCTTATCAATGTGTTCCTCGTCTCTCTTGATAGAGTGGCTCCTTGCTGTTGAGGGATGGGCAGCCTCCACTTCCTGCCTAAGTGAGTGTTAGGAGAATACATTGATGATTCAAAATAATCAGCCTTGCATCAGATATAGAGTCATTGACACATCTCAAGTTGCTTCATAGGATATACTGTATTTTGTGGGCGAAATGTGACAGCCAGTTGTGCAAAGCAATGTCCCACAAACAGTCATGGAGTGTGTGATCAATTTCATTTGAGAGATTTGTTGGTCAATGCCCCGTGAGCGAGAAAAACCCTTCTCTTTTCGACTAGTGCCATGGGATCTTTACCATCCACCTGAACACCTTTGACTATGGTAACAACACCCCCCAGCACTGCATTGGGAGTGTCAGCTTGGATGATTCCAAGTCCTGTGGGCTCGAACATCTGGCCCAGCTTATCCTGCACTCTGAGTCCTGTACTTGCAGAAGGCAGTTCCAATTGTAAGCCGAACAACTCCTCAGCTCTTCCTTTTTTCCTCCTTTATTCCAGGGAAAGTCTGCACTGTGGTCTCACCTGCTTCATTTTCAGGAGAGTGAGGAGAAGCGGGAGGGAGTGATAGAGTCTCCAGGTAGGTTATTTGTTCTTCCCATTGTCTTGGGCAGCGGCATTTGAGTTGCAAGCTCCGTGCTTCAGCGTCAGACGGACTTAAGATTGCTCGTCTGCTCATGCGACTCAGTGATATCATGCCACGCGCTGAATCATGCGGCCATAAAGGCATATTAGTCAGCCCCAACGAGGGGGGACCCAAGGAGGGGCGAATCAATGAGGTCATGTGCTCCACGCATGTATAAAACCATGGTGAAGCTTGTGAGGAACTGTTCAAATCACTGTTGACATCACTTTCTGTATGTGCGCGTCTGTGGAGGACGTGCACACGCAGAAAGTGATATCAACAGTGATTTGAACTTCACTTCCTGCGAACTGCACAGGAAACACTGCTGACACCAGTGATTTGGTTATATCTTCCTGACGTGAAAGGCGGAAATGCACTTGTTTTTTGTATTTGTTATGGCAAGAGCGGCACTGGTGATGTGACGTTGGTGGTGATGCCTGAGAAGTATGGTGTAACATGCAGGATCTGATATCAGTGGTGACCTGCTGACAACAACATCAACAACAAATTGCATTTATATAGTGCCTTTCACGTTGGGAGAATGTCCAAAAGCGCTGAAAATGAAAGCTGACCTGACCTGAAACTTGTAATCTTGGAATTCAAGCTTCACTCTGGTGTTTTATGTCCCCACCTACAAATGAGACCCTTATGTTTGCAGTGAACAGTACCGAATCTTACAGCTAATAGTCTCTGAGTTTGGTGTACTTTGCCAAGTTGCTAAGCTCTGGAGGATGATTTGAGAAGGCTCCACATTGTTGACTGCTTCATTGTGCTTACAGGTGGAAATGGACTGGAGCGTCGGAGATCAGAGACTGGGTTGAACCTGCCATGCCTCAGAGTGTCCCTCATCCAAGACATGAGGTATGTTTAACCTGAGCGCTGAAGGGAATGATGCTGTGAACAAGGAATATGAGCGGAATATGGCACACAGAGTAGCTCCTGTTCAGTTACAGTACTACGGCAACAATTTGGATTTGAGAAGTCTCAACATTGTTGACTGCTCCAATGTGCTTACAGGTGAAAATTGACTGGAGGGTCTGTGGAGTCATGTAGCTCAGTGGTTAGATCACTCGCCTCGCAAGCGAGAGACCCGGGTTTGATTCCCGGCCAGGGCGAAACCTTAGGCAAGTTTCCTAACTCCACACGCCTCTGTTTACGCACGTCTCATTATCAAAGGAACCTGCTTGTTAGTCGATTGTCGGATCGCTTTTCCGGGGGTTAATAATCTCTTCAAAAATAATAATAGTAATTTGGTCACTCAATCCACAACTGTTTGTGGGACACTGCTGTGTGCAATTGGCTGTTGCGTTTCGCAAATTATACAGTCAATTCACTTTACAGTATATTCTATGAAGCGCTTTGAGAAGTCTCGAAGACGTGGTAAAGTGCTATATCGAATGCAAGGATTATTATTATTATTTACATGGAGTAGTTAGTGTATTGGTCTCGCTAACGAGGGTAACCGGATTCGATTCCCGACAGGGTGAAAATGTAGGCAAGTTTCCTTGCTCCACACGTCTCTGTTTACCTAGCAGTAAGTAGGTACCCAGTTGTTTGTTGATTGGCAGATCGCTTTCCGGGGGTTAATAATCTCCCCACTCCCCCAAAAATAAAAATTGGTCACTGAATCCACCACTGTTTGCAATTGTCTGCTGTGCGCAATCGTCTGCTGCATTTCACCCACAATATATACAGTGAATTCACTTTGCAATATATTCTGTGAAGCGCTTTGAGACATCTCAATGATGTGATAAGGTGCAAGAATTATTATTATAATGACAAAATGGGAATTTGTCCCAAAATGGGATAGGTCCTTGAAAAGGAAAAATTTGTAAGTGTATGGGGAATGAGTGAAAGAGTGGGAATAACTGGGTAGCTCTTCCAAAGAGCCAACTCAGGCATGATGGCCAAATGGCCTTCTTCTGTGCTTTAATACCCTATGATTCACAGCCAGTGACTGCTTCCACTTCTGAGTTTGGTGATATGATGGAATAGTGTTAGCTCTCCATAGTGCTGCAATGAAATCTCAATCCAGCTCAAGACATCACATGGGACTTGAACCACAACGTTCTGACTTAGAGACAGTAGTGTAGGTCTTGAACTCACAACCTTCCGACCCAGAGAACAGAAGTGCGCCAAGATGGGATTCTTGGATTTTAATATTCATTGAAATGGATTTCATATTAACGTGATTCAACATCAATATTTTAAATGCAGGATTATTACGACTGTCAACGGCATAATTTCTGATGTTGTCTTTCACCTCTGTTGCACGGCTAACCAGGATCTGAAGGTTACTCTGCCAGTGGGTGTCAGCTACATTTAATTAAATCCCAAAAGGGAAAACTCATTAAACTCTGAACATTAAACTCTGAACAATCTTGCAGAGAATTGTCTGCTGCACTAACCTTCTGGCAGTTATGCCACTCTCACAGCCAGCCTGTGTCAGTGAGCTTTAAATAATTCACCCAGTCTTCAAACTTGTGAGTTGCCTGTGTTTTTTAAATAAACATTTAAAGATTAATGATAGCAATTAATAATAATCCTTGTATTTGATATGACACAATATCATGTCATTGATAATTTGCACATTGAGATGTGCAAATTGATGTTACTGTCATGAATGGGATGAATTGGAATTGGTGACAGAATGGGAGCGGTGAGATAAGGAAGGATACATCTTTTGTGTGACGTCTGCCTGTGTTTCTTGGCCTTTGCTGTTGCTGTAGCGTGTTGTATCAGGGCTGATTTTAGTGCCACTCAAGGATGATTTGGGGTTTTAATTCTTCACTGTTAAGCTCTTGGCTGCAGTGCTTCTCATTGCTAAGACTCTGCCAGGTAAATCAGTGGAGCACTGAATGTGGGTCGCCTCCCCAGCCGCATGTGACACAGCGACAGATCCAGGACAACACAATGCTACAGCATTGCTGACAGCAAGTGCAGTTCAATTGGAGCCAGTCCAATTGCTTTGTAAACATTTTGATGAAATGCAAAAATGGTGCTTGTTTAGTATATATGTTTTATGTAGTGTATTTATATATATTCATATATACAATGGGTGTGTATATCAATATATTCTATGTATATATAATGTGTATTTGTATACACACACAATGTGTGTATATCTATATATATATATGAAGTGTGGGTGTGTATATATATGTACTCACATATATCCCTGTGTGTGTATTACACACGTATATTGTGTCAGCTTGGCTCAGTTATAGCGCTCTTGCCTCTGAGTCACAGGTTTGTGGGTTCAGATGCCACATCGCTCAAATGCCACAGAGTTTAGATGACACTCCATTGCAGTGTTACATTGTCAAAGGTGACTTCCTTTGGATGAGATGTTTAACCCAGGTCCTGAATGTCTGTACAGGTGGACTTTAAAGATCCCATGGCACTATTCAAAAAGAGAAGGGAATTTCTCCCAGTGTCCTGGCCAAAAAACTCCTGAACAAAATTTCTCAATCATTTCATGGCTGTTTGTGGGACATTGCTGAGTCTCGCTTTTGCCTATAAATGCACAGTCACTTCAATTCACAGTAAGTCCTTCCGAGGTGAAAAGAGCTATACCAAATGCAAAGATTATTATCATTATGTAATGTGTATGTGCATCATTAGATAATGTATATTATATCTATACATATCAGTCAATGTTAGGAAACTAACATCATAATAATAATAATCCTCGCATTTGATAAAGCGGTCGTTGAGACGTCTCAAAGCCCTTCACAAAATCTATTGTAAAGTAGATCGACTGTGTATTTTGTGGGTGAAACGCAGCAGCCAATTGAGCACAGGAGTGCCCCACAAACAGTCGTGGATTGATTTTTTAAACTTCTTTTAAAATGCCTTTAACTGTAACTAACAATGAAATATTAATGACCCCAATTTTTAAGCTAGCTCCTTATTTCCCTTAGTTACTCTTGCACACCTTCTTGCACACCTTCTTGTGGTCAGTTACAGAGTAACATTGGAAGAGCTTGGACACAGGCTGTCCAGAATGCACCAGAATTAGCCAGGGAAATTATTTTATGAAGCGTGTGAGGGAGAATAATAATGATAATAATAATAGAATAACATGTGTGACGCTCCTTTTTAGACACGCCCAGAATATGAGTGAGATAAAGACTGATGTTGGCCGGGCTCGGGCCTGGATCAGGTTGTCCCTGGAGAAGAAAGTTCTCTCTCAGCATCTGAAGCAGCTCATGTTCAACCATAGCCTCATCAAGTAAGTGTGGGAACCCCAGCACATGTTTATCCTCTTCTACCCTATGCTAATTCCCTGCACGCACGATTTCCCAACTCTTCCCTCCACAAGCTGTAGATTATTCAGAACTCTGCAGCTTGTGCCCTCTCCCTCATTAAGCTGCGTGAGCCAATCACCCCCATCCTCGGCCGGCTCCCCACCCCCCCCAGAGAGGATGCAGTTCAAGATTCTCATTCTCACTTTGAAAGCCCTCCATGGTCTTGCACTGCTTCTGCAACCTACTAAAACTTTACCAACCTGCCTGCTGTCTCTATTTGCTCCATTAGCATTCAGGCCTTCAGCCTCTGTGTCCCCACCCTCTGGAACTCCAGCCCCTCTGTTTCACCCGCTCCCTTGTCTCCTTCAGGGCCCACCTCAAGAACTTCCTCTTCGACCATGTATTCGGTAATCTTCCCAAGGCTTCACAAGGCCTGGCTCTTGCCAAATTGCGCTCAGACTCTTGGGAACTCCAGGATTAGGTAAACAGAGTGTGTCCCTCTGAGACAGAGTGCGGAACTGCTGAAGAGACAAATGGAAACCACAATTATGTGGAGCTCTCAGTTGTTTGGTTTGAAGCTGGTGAAGCGTGGCGCTAAGTCTCTGTGAGTGTCAGATGCTGTCTGATCAGAATGAAGTGAGTGGGACGGCATTGCTGTGGGAGGGCAGCCTGATTGTTCAATGTCCCTTTGTCCTGACAGGAAACTGTACAAGCGATACGCTTTCCTGCGCTGTGAGGAGGAGAAGGAGCAGTTTCTTTACCACCTCCTCTCCCTCAATGCTGTGGATTATTTCTGCTTCACCAGCGTCTTCACCACCATCAGTAAGTCTTTCCTCATCCCTCTTCCTCATAAGGTGGGGAGCAGGTTGTAGAAAGAGTCACAAGTGGGTACACCCTGCTGGGCTCCACAGTGCTACCAGGGAGCTGAAACAGTAAACAACAAAAGATGCTTTTTTCTGCTGTGTACAACAGGATTTTCTTTTTTGAAAGAGCAAATGAATGTGAGCTTCCTCAATAGATCAGCGGGCTAATTTAGTGAGGCGCACAGCCACACTTACCAGGACATGTGTGTTTTTTTAACCTGGGGATTTCTTGGTCAGGCAGGACAGCGGGAGAAATTCCCTTCTCGATTCAAAACCCTGCCATGAGAGATCTTAACATCCACCTGAACAGGCAGACGGGTCCTCAATTTCATATCTGATCCCGAGGATGACACTTCTGACAGTGCAGCACACTCCCCCCAGGGTTGCGCTGGAGCGTCAGCCCAGACTCTGTGCTCATTGAACCCAATCGAAGAAAAAGTCAGGTGCAAATTTGCACCCAAGTGTTGAGCAGCCGCTAATTAACGCGGTGGCAAAGCGTGAACAAATATTTGGGACATTTGTAGCAATGAGGTTCCTGCAAGGAGTGCCCTGGATTCAGAGCGGTGGCAAATCAGGCAGTGAGAAAAGAGGGGTACAAATTACTAGCCTCTGCGATTGAGTGAAAATGTATCCTGTTTTATAATCAGTGCTGTTCCATCTCCTTACACTATCACCTTCAGAGTTTGGAAAAGAAAAGTTCGTCTCCAGGAACAAGCCTGTCTCAACATGCAATGAGCAGTGTTTTCCCCAACTCTGGATATCCCACCATCTGACTCTCGAGTCCAGCTGCCTCTGAACACACTGCAGGGTGAACAGTTAGTGTGAGTTGGTGTGAGCCTGACTCAATCGCTCATTCTCTTGCCTTTGAGTCAGAAGGTTGTGGATTCAAGTTGCACATCTGGACTTTGAGCTCACAGCCCAGTGGTGTGAAGCACAGTCTCTGGTTGTGGTGGAGCATTCACATTAAACTCATAATTCTCCACTGATCTAAAATTAAAAGCCAGGGAGAATCAGGAAGTGCCATCACTTGGAGTCCAGACTCCCTTTCTATTCTTATATTCGTTCTTGTATCGCCCCTGGCTGTTTGATTTCATTGTGATTTCTGTTGCTTCCTGTAGTGATCCCGTACCGTGCTGTAATTATACCCATCAAAAAGCTCAGCAATTCAATTACAACCTCCAACCCTTGGATCTGTGTCTCGGGGGAGCTCGGGGACACTGGGGTCATGCAGATCCTGAAGAACATCTTGGAAATGGCCTTTGAGGTTTGTGGAGCAGAAACATCACCCCAACATCACTAATTGTGTTTGTGAAATGCAAGGCCGTGGGCGCAGATTGACTTGTGCTAGTGTTAACTCTTTTCAGCCCATTTGCAATTGCTGTCTTTTGTAAACCTACAAAAGCACACCCCAACTGCTGTTTCTCAGTCTCCATAGCTTCAACTTGCTCCGTGCCTCTGTGCCTTGTTCTATTTTTTGCAGTTAGCTTTCGTGAACTGTCAATCTACTAGTGCACATCCCACGCACTTAAGATTTCTCTACTCTCACACCGCCCTTCACTCTTTTCCCCTTCATCCAATTTACCCAACTTCTCCCCACCTTCTTCCTTTTTTTCTCCCTTCTCTGAAGAGGGAGAAATTTTTTCAACAGCGAGTTGTTTGGATCTAGAATGCATTGCCTGAAAGGGTAGTGGAAGCCGATTCGATAATAACTTTTAAGAGAGAAGTAGGACACGATTGGAGGGCTGAGGAGAGAGCGGGGGAGCGGGATTGATTTGGAAACTCTTTTCAAAGAGCCAGCACAGACACGATGGGCCGAATGGCCTCCTTCTGGTTCCATGATTCTAATCCACTTTCACAATATATCCTGTGAAACACATTGAGACATCTCAACAATGTGATAAGTCGTTTTATCAAATGCAAGTATTTTCTTTTCATTTTAATATTACATTCTTTCTATCGTGTCTATCCATTGATGGCGGAGCGCTGACTATTGGTTTTAGAAGGTTGATGTGGTTGGGATTGAAGAAAAGAAATTTATCTTTACTTTTAGAAAGTGTTTTTGGCTTGACTTTTTGTTTGGAATTTGTTCCCTTTTTGCCTAATTTTCCTCTTGCCTCATTCGATGCACTTTTCACAGACAGAGAGACCTGCTTCTCAGCCTTTACTAACTCTATCTTAGACCAACTAACTACTCTGAGATTTATCAGAGATTTACAGGAGGTTCCACAAGATCACTTTGTTCTGTTTGTTTGTGTGTTTGTCTGTCTGTCTCTCAGTCTGTTTGTCTCTCAGTCTGTTTGTCTGTCTTTCTATTTGACTCTGTCTGTCTCTCTGTCTCTCTCTTGCTTTCCTGTTTTATCAATGCTCTTTTAGCTCTCTATTAATCTTTTTTCTGTCTCTATGTCTCTGTCTGTCTCTTTTTGTGTCTATCTCGTTATCTTCTTTATCAGTCTTGCTGATAGAGACTCTGGCTGAGCCTGCTTCTCTGTGTTTCTCTGAGTATCTTGCTCGTTGTCCCCTTCTCTCTCTCGCTCTCTCTTCCTGTCCGTCCAGGTATGTCTTCCTTTCACTCAGCACGGTTAACTCAGTCAAAGTGACATATGGGCAATGCTGATTCAGACCTGTGGTCTGCACTGCCCTCCTGTGGTGGCTGTGACATAACGTGCTCTTTTCAGAGTTGTTCAAAAGATCCTGCAAACACAGGAAAAATGACATCTCCTGACAGACAGAATAAGGGCATCCTACTGAGAACTGTCAGCAGTTAACGGTAACTCACAAAGCTTCTCTGTTCTCACTCGTGCTGCTATTGGAAAAAAAAGGAGAAAGAATTAAATACCTGATATTTTATGTTTTTTTTATAAAATTGGTTTCTCCTACCAGATAGTGTGAAGGAGTTCCCATCTCTTCAGCAACAAGATGACAGTGCTATATATATAGTATATATATATAGAGAGAGAGAGAGAGTATGTAACAGAAATATAGCAATGTAGTCAATCTAGCAGTGGATACCAGGTGGAGAAAGGAGAGATTTAAAGATGTTGACCAAAGGCACAGTCGTAAAGACATGGTCTGGGAGGTTCTGAAGACAGGTCGAGAGGCAAAAAAGCAAATTGGTTTTAGAAGGGAATCCAATTGTGTTGGGAGTGAAGGGAGGGTGAAAGATCGAGTTCTAATTCCCCCATTTCTTTTGTCTTGCCCCTCGGTCTACAAGAGGGTGTAACCCCCGAGTGCAAGGGATTCCTTTTCTTCGGTGATGAACCAACAGAGGGGGCTGTTGCCCCAGCAATGCCTTAATAACAATAATAATAATCCTTGCATTTGACATAGCGTTTTTTACATCTTCTAGACATCTCAAAGCGCTTCACAGAATATACCGTAAAGTGAATTGACTGTTTATATAAACAGTTGTGGATTGAATGACCAAATTATTATTGGGAGTTTTTGGGGAATTATTCTCCCCGGAAAAGCGATCCGCCAATCGACTTACAACCGGGTTCCTACTTACTGCTAGGTAAACAGAGGAGTGTGGAGTAAGGAAACTTGTCCAACATTTTGAATAGAACCCAGGTGTCTCACTTGTGAGGCAAGTGCTCTAACCACTGAGCTACAGGACTCCACTGTCTTGAGGAAAGATTTCCTCTTTGATGCAGGGGAATGCCACACTTCACAAGATTGTAGAGCCCTTCAGCCCATATCATCTCAATCATCCAGAAAATCCTGTCACCTATTACTGCACTAAGCTGTTTCTTAAATGAGTCCACAAACACCCTTCCTGGTGACAGACACCCTTCCTGGTCACCTGTTCCAGTTATGATTTATCCTCTGTATAAGGAAATGCTTCCTGATACCTTATCCTGCTGCTTCCCTTTATAACCCAAAACTTGTGTGATGTTGGATTACCTTAGATGATTATTTGGGGAGGACAAGTTTGCAGGGCTATGGGGAGAGAGCGGGGGATGGGATTGACTTGGATAGCTGTTTTCAAAGAGCCGGCACAGACATGATGGGCCAAATGGCCTCCTTCTGTGTTGTATAATTCTATGATTCTATGATCTGGAAGTATCATTCTGAGTTAACTTCACTTCTGTTTGGAGTTGACTTTGGTCCAATTCACCAAGTGAGGAAAGGCAAGTGTGGCTGACGTAATTCCCCCCCCCACCCCCCCTCTACTGTTCCTGGAGTTCTTGGAGTTATATTTTGTGTAGAGAAGTGAATTGAATGATCTTGTTGAATGGCCTGCCAGCTTGCTCTCCTGTCCCTACCCGGGTGTGAGGAATAGCCACTTGAGAGAGGAGCTGGCGGATCCCAATTGAAAGAAAAGGGATTAGATGTGATCAGGAGATGGTGATGGGAGAAAATTGACAGAGAATGTATAAACGACGGGGAAACTGCCACACATCAATGTTGTTGTGCAAAAGTCAAGCCGAAACACTTTCTAAAGAAATAAGATAAATTTTCTTTTCAACCCCAACTACATCAACCCCAAAATCAACACATTCAGCGCTCTACCTCTCGCTGGACAGACACGATAAAAAAAAGTCATTAAAATGAAAAACAATAAGTAAGAGTGAAGGAAAATCAAAGGAAGAAAGGGGGAAAGCTGGGTAAATTGAATGAAAGGAAGAGACTGATGGGCAGTGTTGAGCGGAGAGGAATCCCAAACAATCCAGGAGATTGAAAGTGCAAAAAACAACAACAAAATTACATTTGTATTGCGCCTTTCATGTCAGGAGGACGTCCCAAGACGCTGAATAATCAGTGATTCGGACCCGAGCTGGGGGTGGGATCAGTGAGGGTGGAGGCCAGGGGGGGGAAGAAGAGTGACCGAAAGCAAGGTTAAAGAGCAGAGTCTTGAAACAGGTCTTGAAGGAGGCAAGGGACGACTGAGGCGGAGGGACTGCGGGATGAAGTTCCAGAGGGTGGGGGTAGAGTGTCTGAAGGCCAATGGTGGGGCGGGCAAGACGGGGGACGTGAAACAAGCCGGAGCCCGCTGAGCGGAGGGAGCGGGCAGGTTGGTAGAGTGTTCTGGATGATTGCAGCCTAGGCACGGGGGAGCTGATGAAGCCGACAAGCAGGGAGTTTGCATAGTCGAGTCTGGATATTATGAATGCATGTATGAGTGTCTCGGCAGTCTGCAGTGTGAGATAGTGGCAGAGCCGAGCGATGTTGTGGAGGTGGTGAAAGGTGGAGCTGTCATGTAACTGATGTGGGATATGAAGGGCAGTTGAGGGTTGAACAGGCTGCTGAGGTTCCACATTGGCTCCATGAGATGTAGAGTGCATCCATGTAGGCAGATGCTGTCAGCGCTCGAGGTATAGGGCTACTTATGGTAGCCAAGCAGTAACTGTGGGGCTGGAGGAGAAGCCGTTAGTGGCAACAAAGTGATGATGGTGGGAGAGGTAGGATTTGAACCAGACTAGGGCAGGTCCGTGACAATTGAGCTGAGAGGCGGTGTAGGCAGATAGAATGGTCGACAATGTCAAGGGCAGCAGAGAGGTCAAGGAGAACAAGGAGGCAGAGAGAGCCCTGGTTGCAGATGTTCAGAACATTGTTAGTGATTTTGACCCGGGCTGTTTCTGTGCTGTGGGCAGCACAGAAACATGATTGGTGGGGTTCAGAGAGGGAATGACGAGAGAGGAAAGAGTGAAGCTGGGGCCCGTCGACTTGTTCCAGGGACTTGGAGAAGAAAGGGAGGTTGTAGATAGCTGGATTGTTGGGATGGATCAAGGAAGATTTTTGAGGATTGGGTGATCACAGCTGTTTTTAGAGGGGTGGGAACAGTGCCAGTGGATAAGGAGAGCTGTAATTGTGAAGGAATGTATGAAATACAAAGGGGAGGCAGGGATTGAAAGACAGAGGAGTATCAAAGAGGCTGCTCTTTACTATTTCCCATGCCAGGTTCTCATGTCATCTCTCGTATTTGTTCTAGTGCCAGAATCTGGGCAAGCTGACCACCGTTCAGATCGGCCACGACAACGCGGGCTTTTTGGCCAAGTGGCTGGTGGACTGTGTGATGGTCAGGAACGAAATCACTGGCCACACGTACAAGTAAGTTGTTTGGACGCAGAGTTTCCGGCTCCGCGTTACGTTGCTTTGAATTCCTGTTGACCCTGAGGTGTGCCACAGTCCAGCATGAAACAGCTGCCACCTCCAACGAGATTGGGTCAGTGCCACAAAGCGGATAGTTACTGGTGTCCAAATTTCTCATTCTACAGTAAAACATAAATCTTATCTTTATCGTATAATCATCTAAGTAGTACATTCACCCAATTCCCATTCAGTTTCCTATCAAAACCACTTAGATTTCTTTACAGTAATCACTTCCTTACTCTTAACGCTGTTTCCCTACCCTCCATTACTGCCTCACTTACCAGCTACATTGAATCGCAGAAAGCATAGTGTTGATCTGTCGCCGCATGCGCAGAAGAACTTCATTTCTCACGATTTAATTTATAGCGCCCTTCACACAGGCTAGTATCTCGCAGCACTTAACAGTTGCGGAGCTTGACGCCGAGCTGCGGAGAGAGGGACAGTCTGTAGGTATGATCGAAGAGGAAGATCTGAAGATGGGCAGGAATGGGCAAGGCGGAGGGACTTAGGCAGAGAAGAGAGTCTCGGGGTGCAGTGGCTGAAAGCACGGCCACCGATGGTGGAGCAGACGGGACAAATCAATGCAAGTTGTTGGTGGTGGTGTTATTGTTCTTTGTCACTGGAAACAATAAAATAAAACCGCTCGTGTTGTGTGTGCTGCCAGATTTCCTTGCGGCAGGTGGCTCGGGAAGGGAGTAGACGATGGCAGTTTGGAGAGGATTCTCGTGGGGGAGCTGTTAACACCGGTGGTGGAGGAGGATCTGAGCAAGCAGAGCCGAACGCCCCCTCAGCAGCGCTCCCCAACCACCGCACGCAGGCTCAGTGTCACCTCGCTGGCAGGGAAGGCCACCAGTAAGTTGTCAGCACTTTCTGGGTTGATTTTTGACGTTGCTCGAATGCACCACAAGGGAGCTTGGAACACGGCCTCACTTTATTCTTGTGTTCATCTCACCTCAGCAAGTTCCCTCTCTCCACAAGTCACACATGCTAAATCATCCAATCCCCATAAATTCATTTGACATTTTAAATTGTTTGTCGTCCGTTTTCTAGCCAAATTATGAAAAGCTCAAAAGCAAGACCCAAGTCACAAATCACACTTTAAAGGGTCCCATCTCTGGGCACCTGACGCTTTGTGTTGATAAGGAATCCCTGTGCTTTGCAGCACAGCATCTGAATAGTCGAGTTGCGTATACGGTTCAATTCGGCCACCATCGGCTGTTGGGCCTTTAGCCTCTTTGCCCCTACCCTTTGGAACGCCATCCCACAATCCCTTTGCCTCGCCCCCTCAGTTGCCTCCTTCAAGGCCTGTCTTTGTACTCGCCACCTCTTCGGTCACCCTCCTACCCCCATCCTCCCTGCCCTCCACCCATTCTGATCCCCCAGGTCGGGTGCAAATCTCTGACTGTCCAGCGCCTTGGGTTGTCCTTCCTATGTGAAAGGCGCTACACATTTTTGTTTATAATGTGTTGTTGGTGTTGCGGTCTTTGTTGGTCTTCATTTGGGTTCCTGAGGTGAAGGTTTTACTTCCAGGAAGAATCCAACACTTCTTGGCGATAGAGAACGGAGAAAGAAATAGAAATTCTCCGCACAGATAGTCTCATTCGGTCCATCAAACCTGCCCGCATTACAGAATCCATTAGTATTTTTAATGCTTTTTCCCGTGTCCCTGAATGATTTTAATGCCCAAATATTTATGCAGGTTCCTTTTTAATGATTCTATTTAATAGCTACTTGTGGCATGAATTCCAAACAACTCGTACTGTGATATAGAACCTTAGAAATTTACAGCACAGAAGCAGGCCATGTCATTGAGACGTTTCAAAGCAATTCAGAATATACTATAAAGTGTATTGGCTGTAGTTTGTTCGTGAAATGTGGCAGCCAATTGCGCACAACAGTGTCCTACAGACAGGCATTCAGTGAGCCTATCGATTTGCAGGCCACAGTTGGCCAATTGGATCTATGCTGGCTCTTTTAAGAGCGATCCTTTCAGTCCTGTACCCATCGTCATTATCCAGTAGTGTAGTGGTTAGTTTGCTTGCCTCGCAAGATCCTCTCACCATTTTCAAATCCCTTCATGCCCTTGCACCTCCCTACCTATCCGACCTGCTTACCCCCCACTCCACCATGATTGCCTCCACTTGGCTGGCTCCAGTCTCCTGTTTATCGTCCCCTCCACCATCAGTGGCTCTGCCGTCTGCCACTTCGCCCGAAACTCTGGAACTCTCTCCCTCAGTCCTTGCCCCCTCCCCCCCCACTGTCAAATCCTACCTAAAGACCTTCCTTTTTAATCGTGCTTCCGGTCACCTCCCCCTCCCTTTCTCCCTGGCTTGGTGTCAGACTCCGCGACACTGTCAAGCGCTCCGGGAAGCTATCCCTCGTGAAGGGCTATATAAATGCAAGTTGTTGTTGTTGACCTGGGTTTCCTTACTCCACACGCCTCTGTTTACCTAGCAGTAAGTAGGAACCTGGTTATTTGTCGATTGGCAGATCGATTTCCAGGAATAATCCCTCCAAAAAAAGTAAATCAATTTGGTCACTCAATCCACGATTGTATATGGGACACTATTGTGGGAAATTAGCTGCCATGTTTCGGCAAGAAAATACACAGTCAGTCCATTTTATAGTATATTCTGTGAAGCGCTTTGAGACGTCTCAATGATATGATAAGGCGCTATATCAAATTCAAGGATTAATGTTTTATTATTATTGTACCCCTGTAGTTACTTTTTCTTTAGACATCTTTCTAAAAATATCTAAAAGCAAGCTAATATGGATTCTGCTTCTTCCACCGCTCCTAGCAGCGCATTGCATAATATAACTGCTGTGTGTGAAAAACTAGATGCATTATTGTCATTCCCTGGGTTTGAACACAGATTCCCATCTGCCCTCCACCCCTGGTTGATGTTTTTTTCTCTGACAGAGCCCAATTCAGGACAGATCCAGGAAGCAATTGGGGAATCTATCAACAACATTGTGAAACACTTTCATAAACCAGAGAAAGAGGTAGGTTTCTGAACCCCACACTAAAAATCATGATCTCTGACCAGATAGGCTGCTCCATCCAAATGAAGGGTCTTGTTGAAATTAAATTAAGGGTCTTGAAAGGCGTTAAAGAAACGTTATTCTGTTGTTGTTGCGAGTGAAGAGACGTTGAACGTTTCTCTGGTGGCACTTTATTCAGCGCTTAGATCCAAGCTCCTGCAGAAAGGCAGATGGAGGAAAATATTTGAATTCATTTAAACCGTCTCTTTGAGTGCTCACACCCTCTCCTCTAACCACACACTTTGCTCCGCCAGCTTTGGCATTCAACGCGTCCCTCAACCCCACCGTTGCAACCGATTGGCAGATTGTGCTTTGAGCCCTGAACCTCTGGAACTCTCTGCCTAAATCCCTCCACCTTGCCCCTCTTTGTCCATTCTCAGATCATGCCCAAAGACTGTCCTCTTTGACTGTGCCTGCGGTCATCTCCCCTTTCTCCCCGGCACGGAGTCAAACCTCGCCATTGTTAAGCGCTCCTGTGAAGCGCGTTACCTAAATTCAAGTTGTTTTTGCCGAATTCTTAAACCACATTTTCCAGAGTCACAAAAACCTGATTTTGAGAGATTTTCTACGTTTTTGTAACCTGAGAACGGATCGCTGTGCTTGACATTTTAAATAAAGTTAGTTAGACGTGGCAATAATTTCCGTAAAGACAACAAACAATAACAAATTATATTTGTATACATCTTTCATGTCGGGAGGATGTCCCAGGGAGCTTGAATCTCTTTAAGATGCATTTTCTTCTTGAATACGTAAGCACAGCATTTGTCAGCCAAATAAGAGAGTGTTCTGTTGGAGACTGTACATTGCTGTAAATGATGGTGAAAGATCGGATTGTTGTGCTCTGACAGAGAGGCAGTCTGACGGTGCTGCTGTGTGGGGAGAACGGTCTGGTGTCCGCATTGGAGCACGTTTTCCATCACAGTTTTAAGTCCGCTCGACTCTTCCAGAAAAATGTCTTCATCTGGGATTTCATAGGTGAGTGCCAGCCACACGCAGCAGTCACCACCTCCCTTCTGGAGACCTCCCGGTTCGCCATAGCACTGCCACAGCTCTGCCACACACACCAAACATGCACTACATGACAATGTGCGTTGTTCCTGAGCCCTGTTTGTGTGAAACCCATCAGTGAACTGGTTCTCCCTATCCCACCTGACACAGTGACTGGAAGGAATGGACGGATAGAATAATAATAATAACAATAATCCTTTCATTTAATATAATGCCTTATCACGTAGCTGAGATGTATCAAAGCAGTTCACATGATAGATTGTAAAATCAATTGACTGTATATTTTGTGGGCAAAGCGTGGAGTCCTGTAGCTCAGTGGTTAAAGAGTACTCACTTTCCCAAGCGAGAGACCTGGGTTCGATTCCCGGCAGGTGTGATAATGATCCCTGAAGAAAATAAAAACAATAATAAATTGGTCACTTCAAACCACGACTGTTTGTGGAACACTGCTGTGCGCAATTAGCTGCTGCATTTCGCCCTCAAATATACAGTCAATTCACTTTACAGTCTATTCTGTGAAGCGCTTTGAGAAGTCTAGAAGACGTGAAAAGCGCTATATCAAAATGCAGGGATTATTATTGTTATTATTAAAACGCAGCAGCCAGTTGCTAATTTCACTTTTTCTTCCTTGTGCCTGGGTCAAGGACACACCCACCAGCCGTTGACCTCGCAGTTTATGGTGCGGACAGCAGTGGGGTCTGCAGTGCCAGGGACTGCCATTCACACCACCTGCTTTATAACCGTTTACTGAGGTCCACACAACACTTAAGGCGTTTTCACACCTGAGGGGACCGAGAGACAAGTTGTAGGTGTTGTCCTCATCTTCGTGGATTCCCTCGTTGGATATGTTGTCTTTGTTTACTCAGAAGGTAAACAGTGTCTAGAACATGTTGCCAGGCAAGGTGGTTGAGGCCAGGGCACTGGACTCATTTGAAAAGCATCTTAATGCGGTGATAATGGGAAAGTAGGGTGGGTGTTTTGGAGGGATGATGGGTTGAAGGGCCTTCTTCATCCATACTGATCTTGTGATTGTTTCTCCATTCCCCTCTCTCCCCCAACAACTATTAAGAGACGTCCTCACAAATATTCTAATGGACAAATAAACAACCGAGATTGATGTGTCTTAATTATTAATAATAATAATAATAATCCTTGATTGCATCATTGAAGGATTTTCTCTTTGTTATCAACATCATAAGGTGCAGCTGACATCCAGAGTTGTTTGGGAGGAGGGCTCGGGGAAGGGAGATATAAATGCAAAATAATTAATTTGGGTCCGAAGGATATGCTTTTAATGGGAAGAATCCCTGTGGCTTTATTTTCCAACTGACAGCAGCATTATCACGATGTGCATCTTTCTCTTTGAGATGTCTCTAACCGTTTGCCTGAAGGCACAGTCTGTCCCTACGGTGTTGTGTGATCTGTTGAACACTGATATACCCCCAATACATACATACCTTACAATCTTAACCTCCTTGTCTGGGAGGCACAAGGACGAAATGAGCCCTTGGCAGGAGGAGAGCAAACTGGAAGTTTATAACTACTGGACCGCCTCCTGCTGTGGTTGCACGCGTTTTCACAGTAGTGGAGCATTCGCCTGAGAAAGGTAGATGTTTATTCTCGCATCCTCCGCACACTAGAATGGGTTCCGCTCAGATCCGGGTGATTGAGAATTTCCCTGAGGCACTATGCTTTCAAGAAATTCAGGAGTTTCTATTGGACATTTCAGAAGGATGTTTGCAATTTGGAGTTAATTATCCAGGCTGACAGCCCGTAGAGGTCTAGAAGAGCACTACTTTGCTGGAGATGACATACTTCAGTTGAAAGGCAACACACAAGCCCCATCTCCCTTTTCAGACAGAAATTACTTTCGCTTTGCAAGTGAGAGACCTGAGTTCAATTCGAGGCAGAGCGAAACCTTGGGCAAGTTTCCTTACTCCACACGCCTAATAATAATCCCTCCAAAACAAAAAACAATAATAAATTGGTCATTTTCAATCTACGACTGTTTGTGGGACATTGCTGTGCGCAATTGGCTGCCGCGTTCACCCACAAATATACAGTGAATTCACTTTACAGTGTGTTCTGTGAAGCGCTTTGGGACGTCCTCCGGACGTGAAAAGCGCTATATCAAATGCAAGGATTATTATTATTATTGCTGTGCGCAATTGGCTGCTGCGTTCGCCCACAAATATACAGTCAATTCACTTTACAGTGTGTTCTGTGAAGCGCTTTGGGACGTCCTCCGGACGTGAAAAGCGCTATATCAAATGCAAGGATTATTATTATTACAGATCCCATGGTACTATTCAAACAGAAAAGGATTTTCTCCCAATCTCCTGGAAAATAAATTGTTCATTTGCTTCACGGCTGTTTGTAGAACCGACTGTGTGCAAATCGGGCTCCTGCGGTTGCCTGTAAATACACAGTCACTTCACTCGTGAAACACTTTATAAGACTTTTTCACATTCGTGGACCAATATCGAATTCAAAGATAACTTTTATTTACTGAGAATTAATTTCCATTGCATCAAGAACCGTTCTTCTGCTCAACTACTTGATTGGGAAAAAGTAATAATATTATTGCATTTGATATAGTGCCTTATCATTTTGATGAGACATCTCTAAAAGAGCTTCACAGAATATACTATAATTTGGATTGACAGTATATTTTGTAGCGAAATGCAGCAGCCAATTGTGCATAGCCAGTCATGGATTAAATGACCCAATTAATTTAGGGTGGTGGGGAGATTTATACTTGGAAAGCAATCCGCTGATCTCGCCGTATATCTCGTCTGTTTGAAAGTGTGTTTGTATCTTTGAATATGTGGTTGTCTGTATATTTAAATGTGTGTGTGTATGGTTGAATGTGTGCATGTTTGAATGTGTGCATGTTTGAATCTGTGCATGTTTGAATGTGGGCATGTTTGAATGTGTACACGTGTGTATGTTTGAACGTGCGTGTGTTTGCTGACCTGAAATTCATACCGATCGGAAAGGGATTTCATTCCACAAACGCCAGTATCATGAATGTGTGTTGGGTGGTTTCTTTGTGCTCATGGGAAGGTCATGACATTTTTGTAACAACATACACAAGAGACGTGTGACTGATTCTGACATTCACCGTGCTGGGTGCTTGTCAAGAAATGAGAACCGGGTTTGCTAGACCCTCTCTATTTTGTTGCATTAAGTCATCCACCCTTCACTAAGAGTGCCGTAAAGTGGGCAGAGAAACCAACACCACCATAATATTCTTGCTTCTTTGAGTTTCACATTCCTACAAACCAAGCAGCAATGCTTCGAGAGTTTGGGTTGTTCCAGGCTGGAATGCACACCAGCTTTTGCAGTAGTTCTTATCATGTTTTGACCTTGATAAGCTCTGTTCAGAGAAATAAACCTTTATTGAATTGTGCCTGACTGTGCGGATTCTAAAGTCTTGAGTGGTTATGATGCTGACTGCTTGTGAGTCAAGCGCTCTGGGATGCTACCCTGCATGAGGGGCGGAGTCCTGTAGCTCAGTGGTTCGAGCACTCGCCTTGCAAGCGAGACATCTGGGTTGAATTCCAGACAAGGCAAAACCTTGGGCAAGTTTCCTTACTCCACACGCCTGATAATAATCCCTCCAAAACAAAACAATAATAAATTGGTCATTTCAATCCACAACTGTTTGTGGGACACTGCTGTGCGCAATTGGCTGCCACGTTTCACCCACAAATATACGGTTAATTCACTTTACAGTCTATTCTGTGAAGCACTTTGAAATGTCGAGAAGACGTGAAAAGCGCTTTATTAAATGCAAGGATTATTATTATCATATAAATGCGAGTTGTGTGGCTGGAGGCAGCGAGCTCAGCTGAACGGTGTAGCTGTTGTTTTTTTTGCTTGTATGAGAAAAAATACCACTCTCAAACTGAAAGCAATACAAAGCATGTTCCCTCCAAAGGTCTTCTCAGCTGTTTAGGCCCACAGTTGCTTTCTGTTGCTTCTTGTTGCCTTTCCCTCTTTCTAAAAGCAAGCTCTTTGATGTGAGTGGACAGCGTAAACGCTTTCTTTGGACAGTTTGTCTCGTGCTCCAGTGTGTGGGAGGGAGCGAGTGACTGGCACGATGGGTTAATTATTTCATGAGAAAGCTGATTATTTCATGGTTTTAGCATTACAATTTAAAAAAATTAATCTGGATTATTTTAGTAAAATGGAGTGTGCGTTCTTGGATGGTGATGCTGTCAGTGCCTGAGGTTTGGAAGCACTGACGGGAGCCAATCAGGAGAGCCTCGGTCTTGTTGACGTTCAACTGTGGAAAGGTAACTCTCATCCAGGACTTGATATTTGACAGACATTCTGTCAGGACAGCAGAACAACTGGAGTCAAGTGGCTAATCCGGAACCTTGGCGTCTTGTTTTGACCCTCAACTGTCCTTTCTACCCCACATCATGACCCACTCTGCCTTCCTCCACATCCACAACATCGCCCGGCTCCGTCATTGGCTCACTCTTCAGGCTGTTGAAACCCTCCTTCACACATTCATCACATCTAGGCTTGATTACATGTGGAAATTGACCCCATGACTGCGGATGATGTCACCAAGAGGGAGCATATAGATGTTGAAGAGGAAAGGACCAAGGACAGAGCTCTGAGGAACACCACAGCTCTTTTGCACGGACTCCAACTGAACATAAGATGTGCACTTCATTAGTTTTTTTTTGTAATTCACAGAAAAAGCAGTGCTTTACTTTGAGACCACTGAGGAGGATGAGGAACTGCGGGAAGACTTGTTGCAATTGAAAGCCTCCTGGAGAACGTTCTGTCAGTACGTAAATGCCATCAACTCTGCTCCAAGGAACATCGGAAAGGATGGAAAATTGCAGCTGCTATTATGTCTCGGGGCGAGGTAAGTGGTTTTCCAAAGTTCCAAGATATGGTTACTGCACTCGATTCGCAAGCGAGAGGACATGGCTTTGATTTCTGGGCGGAGAGAGTTTCCTTACTGCACACCCTCTGTTTACCTTGCAGTAAGTAGGAACCCGGTTGTTAGGTGATTGGTGGATTGCTTTTCCAGGGGTAATAATCCCAAACAAACAAAGCAATTTGGTCACTTAATCCACGATTGTTCGTGGGACACTGCTGTGCGCAATTGGCTGCTGCACTTTGCCCACAAAATATACAGTCAATTCACTTTACGATATATTCTGTGAAGCGCTTTGAGACGTCTCAACGACGTGATAAGGCGCTATATCAAATACAAGGATTATTATTATTATTATAATGATGTGCTGCACAATCTTAAATTGATGGTTCAGGCTAGAGTGCCTTGCAGGCAATGCTGATCTGATTGCTCCTGTCACTTTCTGTCTTGCTACGATGCAGAGATCACTTGCTAGCTCAGTGGTTCCCATTGCTGTCAGAATGCCCAGTCACCTCCAGGATGTACGAAGAGGGAGCTCTGCTGCGGGACCACATGATGGTGAACTCTGTTATCCGAGTGCTGCAAACCTTGCAGGAATTCAACATCACTCTGGAAGCCTCGCTGGTCAAAGGCATTGAACTGTAGGCACGGGCTGCCCAAAGCCACGGCTCACAAAGAATGGGAGCCACTCAGAAGCCTCCCGTGATGTGGGTAGTGTGACACTATAAGAAGCTGGACTGCACCAAGGTTCACAGTCCACAGCTTAACCTGTGCAGAATAGCGCCCAGGGTACGTTTACAAGGCTGAATAGTTAACAAAAGAGTATTTTCACGTGTTAGATGTGTGTAAATATGATATTGTACCTTCACTGCAAAGTTGTTCACACTGTAAAACAAGTTCACCAAATTGAATGTCCTCACACTGATTCACAGACGAGAAGGTATGGACGATGTAGAAAATGCCAGTGGGGAGTCTCCTGATTCCTGATCCTTGTGTAAATATTGTGCAAACCCAGCGATCAGGTACCAGTGTGTTAAATAAAACCACAGTGACAGACGCTCCCTTCAATCCACCCCTCACACAATGCGTTCTTGAAGATTCTTTCATTGGAAAAATTGCCCCTGGATTTAACTCCATTACCCCTCCCTCCTTCCCCTCCCTCCAAAAATAACCTTTTAATTTAAGAGCGTTGTAGGTGACATGGGTCTGTAAGTTGAGTGAGTTGCTTTTAGCCAAGGTAGTGTGTAAATAGGTGGAGTCAGAGTCCGAGGTAGTGCTTCCTGACCTAGTTGTGGCCCATCTCTCCCAGGGGATCAGTGAATGATGACATTGCAAGGCGCAGCCTGGCAGAACTGTAGGGCCAGAGCAGAGGCCTTGCATCTCCTCATTGACCTCCTGTCAGGAGCACCACCACCACGTCAGAAAGCACTGAACCCAGCACCTTCTGGTCGAGTCAAAAGACACAGCCTGAGAGTATTTAATTTTCATATATTTATTGGTCAAAACTTGAAACTGGATGCCCAGCCGACACTCACTTCTGTTTAGTTGACTTTGAGAGATCCATGTTAGCAAGGAAAGCCTCTTCCTCCTGCTCTTCCCCAAGCCTCTTAGCCAAGTGCAAGTATTATACCAGGCTGAATATTGTGCTCAGTGTGTGCTCATCCCACTAGCACAACATTCTGCCCAGCGCTCCCCTGGTCACTGAGAAGAACGCTGAAATTGGTCTGTTTTACAGGACGGCCGTTTGCAGCAAATGCTAAGACAACTGCTTTATCCCAGCTGGCACAGGGAGGAAATTGCTGCTTTTAAACTGAGGGATGGATTGGTTGTGGGACCGTGCATTGGGCTGAATTGAGACCATTTCTCTCTAAAAGGGGAGCCAGTTGTTTTCATGCCATGATCCTGATCGGCCATTGTTTTCAGTGGACTCCGAGCGCAGGCTGAACTGACCGATAACTGGTCGAAATGGGATTATTGATAGCGTGAGATACTTTGCAAAGTATCAAAGCTGGTCCACTCTCTATTGTGTTCATGTGGCTCCCATTGTTGGAGTTTCAAACCCACTGTGAGATTGCTAACCACCTGGGCTGCCTCCTGCCACAGTTAGGTACTGAGAGGTGTGCTTACAGTGGGGCACTTTCTCGGTACCAGAGCCACTCACTCACCCCTGCGATTACAAGAAGCTGTCTGAACAGACCAACAACTGATGGTCCAGAACATTGGGAATGTGCCTACTTCACTGTCTAATGATCTTTCAATTGGGGCTTGGGGCTGGGAGGGTTTCGTGAGCTGTGTATTCAGCTATTTCAGAGGTGAAATTACCACAATGTTTCTCCCACAAAATACACAGTCAATTAATTTTACAGTTTGTTCTGTGAAGTGCTTTGAAATGTCTCAACGACATGATGAGGCACTATATCAAATGCAAGGTTTATTATTATTATCATGTAAGCAATGACGCTCAACTATAAACTTTCAGTAGGCTCTGAGACAATTGTTTTGACAAAGAGCGAACAGTGAATCGTTCTTCTTACAGACGGTCCTGGGGAGCTGGGCAGAAGCCTTGTTTTCAGGAGAGATATGTTATTGAAAGAGATCTTTGCCAATTTTTCTCAGCAGAGAAAATCAGAACAGTGGTTCCATTATATGGGCAAGTTTTACTTTAAAATTCAGTTGCTTTGATTCCGAAAGGCTTGTGGATACGTTGCATAAGATCTTGCAGCAATAAGATACAGTCAATTCACTTGATAGTGAATCCTGTGAAGGCATGATTTCAAGTGCCAAGATTGTTATTAATATTGTTACATAGAATCAATGTTTTTCATGACATCCCCCATCCTGGTGTAAAAGAAAGTGAGGCACATAGTTTAAAAGGTTTGGGTCTGATCTTTGGTCACACATTTCCAATGACGCGATATTGACGTCCAATGCAGTGTTTGAATTGTCTTCGAGAGTTCTCTGGTTCACAAGCCAGCGTCCACAGGCAGCAGGATCTAGGCGATCTGTAGGTCTTACTTACCACCAGTTTGATTTTTCGGAAGAACAGATCGCTGATTATTAGTATTACATATTTCAAGGCACTTTATCCAACAACATTTAATATGAGATAGCAGTTTTGTGCTTCTTTTGTACGTAACTAATTAGTTAAGAGGCTGCGTTCTTCATGACTTGTCAAACCTTTAATGTGCTTTGTTTGGGGGGAAGGTTGTCATGATGATGGGACGTGAGAGCCATTCAGTTCGATTGATGCCGATACTTGGTTTGGCAGTGAGCGCAATAAAGATTTGCCAGCAACTTTCTCATTGAAGGTGAAAGCCGCCAAACCTGTTGTATTATCTTGTCTGCCTTTTCCGTGAGCCAGAATCCTATCTTCAGCAGTGTTGGTTTTCCCTTGTTCCGAATCGTTCCCAATGCATGTCATGACTGTCGCCGTCAGCAACGAGCTGTGATGGTTCAACGCGGTGCATAATGGAGTGGAAACTGCCTGCCAAGTCTCCTCTGTCAATAGTTGCTGAAAGCTAATGATCAGGTATTAACATATCTAGGCAGCGATCAATCTTCTATAGATGTTTAAATGTGATGACAGTTTATTTTTGTCTGTTGAACACTGGAGATTAGTTTTTTTTCCTTCTCTGGTAAATTGTTCTTTAATAATTGTTTGTTTGAGTGCATTGTCAGAATATTTACGGGGTCTTTATCATCTCTCCTGTGTTATTGGTTTGCTTTGCCAGTGATCTTACAATACTGAGCAATATCACAGTGCATTTGATTTTTTCTGTTAGCAATATCTGAAGTTTTTGACACATCAACGCTTCTGGAATAAAACTCTCTGGACTATTGACGGGTTCCTGGCTTCAGAAAGCAGCCGAGAGGCATGTTTAAAATTCCCGACTTGTGTAAAATAATTGTGTTTAAGAATCCCAGAGTTGTTCTTGATGGAATATGTGATACACTGACATTGTAAACGTCTCCAATAACTTGATTCATTGATAATAAAAGACCAATAAGGTGTTCATTGTCTGAGTGTGGCCATCTGTGTCGAGAGGAGACTGACACCCAGTTCCTTCAACCCTACAGAAGCAATGCAGATAGAAGAGTCCTGGGCAACAACCCCCTACTCCCCCACCCCCCCTGCCACCTCCTCCCGATAAACCAATCATTCACATCATGGGTTATTTGTCGGACTTTGCTAAATGCAAATTGGCTGCCCTATGTAACTTACAAACATGTGGTCATGATCCTTGGTGGCAGTAGCCTGTGAAACTGTTTGAGCGGTTCCAACATTGTTGGCACTGAATCAAATGGGAAGATTATTATTCATAATTATTAAGTCTGAAATGTTTCCAAAATCCACATCATCACATCCTACTCTCAGCAGTGCTCCAAAAGGTAAGGATTCCCTCTGAAAACAGTCAGAGGGTTAGTACGTATCCTCCTTGGGGGAGAGGTAAATGCGGTCTCCTTGGAGCTGAACTGGATCCAAAGTGACATATTTGACAATGGAAGGTCGGAATCAAGCCAACCTTCTGGGGCGGTCTCGGTAGTCCGTTTCCTGAGCCAGGCCATTCCACAGGATTTCAAGTCACTGCTGATTCCAAAAGTTAGATGATCTTCCCCCACACGCAGAGGTGCCACGTCCCTATGAACACAAAATTCACCTGGATGTTGTACGAGACAGAGTAGAGTTTCTCACACAGTGACTCTTCACACATGCTGACCCCGAAACATTCGCGTTTCAACCGGTGGAAAATTTTAGCTGAAGCTACAAGCACTGGATATGTAAGTAAAAGTAAGTTGAGCACGCACCCAACTCTCTTTTTCAGAGTGATATCTGAGAACACTGTTGTGTTCTCTTTGGCTCTCGTCAACGTCTAAAATCTCACGGTTCTCACCTCCTCCACCTACCCGACCTCCCCCTAAAACTCTCCAAACCCATACGCAACCAAGGTGTCAGGTTCAACTCCCAATTATCCTTCCTCCCCCACATCCGGTTCCTCACCAGCACCGCTTTCTTCCACCTCCGACGCATCACCCGTCTCCGCCAATACTTCTCTCCGAAAGCCGCTAAACCCTGGTCCATGCCTTTGTCACCTCTAGGCTGGACTATTCAAATGCCCTCCTCACCGGTCTCCCCTCCACTACCATCCATAAAGTCCAGATTATTCAAAACTCTGCCGCCCGCATTCTCACCCGCACCAAACTCCGCTCCCCGATTACCCCAGTCCTTGCCAGACTGCACTGGCTGCCTGTCCCAGAGAGGATCGACTTCAAGATCCTCACCCTTGTCTTCAAATCCCTCCACTCCTCTGCACCCCCCACCTCTCTGACCTCTTTCCTCAAAATAGTGCCCGTTGCCCTCATTCCTCGTGGTCTGGCTCCCTTCACCTCGCCCCCTCTCTTCCTATTTTCAGGTCTCAGCTGAAGACCTTTCTTTTCGACCGCACCTTTGGTTACCTTCCTCCCCCTCCCCTTGGCTCAGCCCCGGGGTCCGTTACTGTGAAGCGCTCTGAAATGCCGTCCAGTGTGGAGGGCGCTATATAAATCCAAGTTGTTGCGTATTTTAAATTACAATTCTTGTCCCAATCTCAGGTGAACTGCTCACAATGAAGTGCCAGTGTGTTTTGATAGGGGCCATTGCATTCACAAAGAGCACATCTGACATACAGTCCAATATTGCCCTCTTCTGACTCCAACATCATTGGAACGACAAGGATATCGGTATTATTTTAGGGGGTATGCAACACGTGGCAAAGCCCAGCAGAACAGTATGTCAACAATCAATCTGACTGATGTGTATACAGTAAAACTCACATAAGGTGTATGTCAGGACCATGACATGTAATATGACTCATGCGAAACCTGAGTTGCTTGCAAACTATATAAATTATATAAAATCTGATTTAATTAATAATCTACACTGTACATGAGATAGTTCATCACTGCAGCCAGCAAGTGAGCATGTGAAGACTGTTTAAGACGACATTTCCAGCGATTGAATGAATCTTGACAAGTCACCGCATGTGCACTTATCGGCACACATTGGATTTGTGTTGAATCGCGGGAAATTAAGTCCTTCTGAGCATGCGTTGACGAATGAAGACTATATTTCCCGTGATTCAATGCAGTTAAGTGCACGTGTCGATGGGTCAGGATGTCATTTTCCATGATTCAATGCAGCCAGTAAGCGCGGGAATAACGGAGGGTAGGGGAGTGACGTTGCGACTTAGGAGGCGATTAATACGAGTAGTGCAAAGAAAGTTAAGTGGTTTTAATAGGTAACTGATATATTTAAAACATCTTTCATATTGGAAAAGGTCTAAAAACACATCAACAGAGACACAATGGGAGATTGGGCAAGGTGTGAGATTAGGGTGTAGGAGGGAGGTGCCTTTCACGCCGGGAAGACGTCCCAAAATGCTTCACAGGATTTAATGTGAAATGGAGTGACTGTGTACTTGTGCGCAAAAGCAGCAGCCAATTTGCACACAGCGACGTCCACAAACATCGATGAAGTGAATGACTAATTTTATTTGGAGAAACTATTAAATTGCATATGTTCATAGTGATAAATTAGTGCTTACTAATGTCTATGGGTCTCACTGCAAGGTCAAATGGTTGTGGGTTCAAGCTCCATGTTGGCAAATTTGAACTCACAGTCCAGGCTGACATTAAAGTGCAACACTGGGGGAGTATTGTATTGTCAGAGGTGTCATTCTTCATATGATCTAGTTGCCTATCAGGTGAGCATTAAAGATTTCATGGTATAATTTCAAAAGAGAAGGGAGTTTCTCCTGGTGTCCTGGCCAATAATCCCCTCTCGGTGGTTGGGATTCCTGCCTATCTTCCCTCACTCTCTGGAATTCCCATCATCTCTTCGTCTCTTCAACTCATCCCTTCCCTCGCCTCCTTCAAGGTCTGTCCCGAGACCTTCCTCTTTGACTGCACTATTGGCCAAAGCAACATATGTCACTTTGTCTTTGCCAAAACACCAAGACTGTAAGCGGAGTGTTGTCACTGTGCTGCAGTGCCTGAAGGTGAGTAAAGTCAACAACAACAACAACAAAGTACATTTGTATAGCGCCTTTTATGTTGGGAGGTCGTTCCCAGGCTCCTGATAGTCAGGGATTTGGACTGCATCTGGTGGTGGGATCAGGAGGTGTAGAGAGTAGGTTACCGAAGGCATGGTTGAAGAGGAAGGTCTTGAGACAGGTCTTGAAGGAGGAAAGGGAGGAGGCGAGATGGAGCGACTGTGGGATGGAGTTCCAAAAGGTGGGGCAGAAAGGCTGAAGGCCTGATCTCCGATGGGGACATGGAGCAGGCCAGCTTCTGCTGAGCGGAGGGAGCGGGCAGGACAGTGCTCATTACAGAAGCTGTGCAACCAAAAGATCACATGCAGGTGCTGACACAGCTTCTCTCAGCTGGGACCACATTTTGAGAGCTATAAGTTTATAACTTTTGTGTCTTCTGGATGCAAGAGGACAGAAATTATGTTCTTGGTGACTGTGCAGGAAACTGTAGCTTCCCAGATGAGAGAAGCAAAGCGCTCAACTCTACTCTCTGCTCGGTTGAATAACCTGTCCACCCTCTATATCTAGATTCCCTGTAACTGCTGCTGAAGGGCTGCCAGCAATTAGACCCCAGGAAGAGTCAATGCCTCACTGAAAAACAGTGTTTGCGAAGATTCGTTCTGAACTGACCCCCTTCAATTGCAGGCTGTGTCCTCTGGTTTTACTATTCTGGAAAAGTTGAATCAGCCTGTTATAATCTATATTGTCTTGCCTCTTTAGAATCTTAAAGACAAAAATCATGTCACCTCTCAATCTTCTCTTTCCAGCGTGAACATGCCCAATTTACTTAGTCGCTCCTCATAGACCTTCCATTCTTTTGGTTACCCTCCTCTGTATAAATAATAATAATAATAATCCTTACATTCGATATAGCACTTTTCACATCTTCTAGATGTCTCAAAGCGCTTCACAGAATATACTATAACGTGAACTGACTGTATGTTTGTGGGCAAAACGCAGCAGCCAATTGCACACAGCAGTGTCCTACAAACAGTTGGGGATTGAGCTACCAAATTATTATTGTTTTTTTTTCTCTGGGATTATTATCAGCCATGTGAAGTAAGGAAACTTGCCCAAGGTTTCGCCCTGCCGGCAATCAAACCAGGTCTCTCGCTTGTGAGGTGAGTGCTCTAACCACTCCACCTTCGAGAAGGTAAAGATAATGTATCTTCTCGATTTCTCCAATATCCTTTTTGTACTGTGGCGACCAGAATTGTACCCAATAATCTAAGTATGGTTTCACTGATTTATACAGTGGCAGGATTACCCCACTATTTCAGTTTGCTATTGATCTTTTGATACATCCCAACATCTGGTTTGCTTTACCCACTGCCACAGAGCAGAGAGAGCTTCAATTTATTATCAATCAGGACCCCCAGGTCCTTTTCATTTTCCATCCATATTATTTTCCTTCCGTTCAAATAATAGTCCCTTCCAGGATTTTTTATCCCCATATGAAGTACTTTACGTGGTGTACTGTCAAGTGTAGTGACTGTTTTTGTGGGTAAACTTGGTAGCCAATTTGTATATCACAGTCCCACAGACACCCATGGAGTGAGTGACCAATTTTATCCTTGGGGATTGTTGGCCAGAACACCGGGAGAGAAAACTCCCTTCACCTTTTCACTAACGCCACGGGATCTTTAGCGTCCACCTGAACAGGCAGACAGAACCTCGGTTTAATGTCTTCTCCAAATGATAAAATAGATCACACACACGCACTCCTACAGAACACAGTGGGAACACATCTTCCCTGTCCATTGGAACCCAATTGTAATACTGAACAATACCCCATCCCTACCCTCACCGACACAGCAGATTTTAATAAGTTCACGCTGGCTGTAAAGATGGATTTAAAAAATGTATAACTACTCACTTGTGGGAGGCTGAGCGGCTGAGTGAATTATAATAATTCTTGCTTTTAATATAATGCCTTATCACGTCATTGAGATATCTCAAAGTTCTTCACAGGATATACTGTTAAGTAAATTGACTGTACTTAGTGAGTGAATGGGGCAGCCAGTTGCAATGTCCCGCAAGCAGCCATGACACCAGGAGGAAGAAACTACCTTCCCTTTTTGAATAGTGCCATAGGATGTGAACCTTGTTTTAATGTCTCATCCGAAGGAAGGCACCTCCAATAATGACGTTAAAGATCCCGTGGCGCTAGTCAAAAGGTGAAGGGAGTTTTCTCTCCCGGTGTTCTGGCCAACATCCCCGGCACTGCATTGGGAGTGTCAGCTTAGCCCATGTGATTCCAATCCCAATGTGGGGCTTGAACCCAGAAGCTTATGACTCAGAGGCAAGAGTGCTACCACTGAGCCAGGCTGACACACATTTTGGTATGTCTTCCCGACGTGAAAGACGCTACACCAAATTGTAAGTATTATTATTATTTCCACCTTCCCATCATCCCCAGACTGGGCGTCTGGGTGATCCGTGATGTGGATCCTTCGAGTTCCTGCAGACAAGCAAGAACAACTATCACATTGGGAGGATGTCCCAAGGCGCATTGAAGAATTTGTCCCATTGAAGAATTTGCACCCGAGCTGAGAGTTGGAATCAAGAGGTGGTGGAGACACACCAGTGTTGTGGATACTAAGATAGTTAGTCTGTGAGTTCATTAATGCTAAAAACTTACATTGTGCATTGAGGGGAGAGCAGAGAGTAGAGGTGGGGGGGAGGGAGGGGAGTGGGAGGAGGGGGGGAGAAGGGAGGGAGGGGGTAGGAGAGGAGGGAGGGGGAGGAGTGAGGGAGGGGTGGGGAGGAGGGGTGGGGGAGGAGAGAGGGGAGGGGGGAGGAGAGAGAGGGGGGAGGAGAGAGAGGCGAGAGGGGAGGAGAGGGGGGGAGGGAGAGAAGAGGGGAGGAGGGAGGAGGGAGAGGGGGGGAGGGGGGGGAGAGGGGGAGGAGGGGGAGGGAGGGGGAGGGGAGGGAGGGGGAGGAGAGAGGGGGAAGAGTGAGGGAGGGGAGGGGAGGGGGAGGAGAGGAGGGGAGGGGGAGGAGAGAGGGGGAGGAGTGAGGGAGGGGAGGGGAGGGGGAGGAGGGAGAGGGAGAGGGAGGGGGAGGAGAGGGGAGGAGAGGGGAGAGGGGGGGAGGGGGAGGAGGAGGGGGAGGAGAGGGGAGGGAAGGGGAGGGAGGGGGAGGGAGGGGGGGGAGGAGGGGGAGGAGGAGGGAGGGAGGGGAGGGGGGGAGGAGAGGGGGGGAGGGGGGGGAGGAGGGGGAGGAGGGGGGAGGGGGAGGAGAGGGGGGGGAGGGGGAGGAGAGGGGGGGAGAGGGGGAGGAGAGGGGGGGAGGGGGGGGGGGGGGGGGGGAGGGGGGGGAGGGGGAGGAGAGGGGGGGGAGGAGAGGGGGAGGAGGGGGAGGAGAGGGGGGGGAGGGGGAGGAGAGGGGGGGAAGGGGGAGGCATGTTTCCCGCGCTCTTCTTGTCCTAATATGGGAATACAGTGACGTCAGCGTTATTATGCAAATACTTTAATTCACAGATTCGGCGCGCGGTGTGCGCATGCCCAGTGCGGGGGGAGAGAGGCGGTTGTAAAAGTGAAGTTCAGGCTGTGCTGGTGAGTGAGTGACGCTGTGTGTCTGTCTGTGTCTGTCTGTCTGTCTGTGCCGTGTGTTTGTCGATTTATTTTTCGGATGTAACAAAACCGCTGAATGGATACACCCTCTCTGCTGTGTTGTATTTTCAAGGCCTGATCGTGTTCGCTGGAACTCCATCGTTTTATGTTCTTTGAAAAGGAGAGTGTGTTCTCTCTCTCTCTCTCTCTCTCTCAAACATAATCTGAACTGCACACTCTGCCTTTTACAACAATGAAGATCAGATCCCATCTGATCACAGGGAGGACCGTGGGCGCTCTCCAGCATTCCCCAAACAGGGAGACGAGGGGGGTTTAAAAAAATAATTAAAACACAGCATTTCATGTTGTGTGTGAATGAGTGATGAGTGAGTGAGAGTGTGTGTGTGAGTAAATGAGTGACTGAGTGAGTAAGTGAGTGTGAGTGAGTAAGTGAGTGAGTGTGAGTGAGTAAGTGAGTGTGAGTGTGAGTGAGTGACTGTGAGTGAGTGAGTGAGTGAGTGTGAGTGAGTGAGTGAGTGTGTGAGTGAGTGTGTGTATGTTTCAGTCTCTGCAGTCCTGTCTCTCCCTTTCTCTCTCCCACTCCCCAAAACACAAAGTTCCTTGTTTCAACTTGTGACTGTGCAGAACTTGCTTTTGTGTTGTGGTGAGAATCCCACCTTCATTGCATTGTGGCACACACACAACTGAACTGACTTTGCTTCGGAGTCACTGCTAACTTGGTCTCATCCTTTTCACCCCTCCATAACAGCCGGAGAAGTCAAATAATAATAATAATCCTTGCATTTAATGTAGCTCATTATTGTGTTGTTGAGCTGTCTTCAAGCGCTTCTCAGGATATGTAATGTGGCTTTGACTGTTTTTTTTGTGGGCTTCTCTCTGGTTCTTCTCTCTGGCTGAGTCCCCCATATTCTTTCATGGCTGATGGTGTCTTGTCAACTTTCAATGCCAGCAACCGGCCAAGGCCGATCACTCTCCTGAACCTGTCCTCTCTCTCTCTCTCTCTCTCTCCCCCTATCTCTGCTTGTTCTTTGTGAGCTGCACTGGTTAAAAGGTGGGTGGGGGTAGGGGGAAGAGAGAGGCAGTGTGTGCTGTGCTGTGCGGGTGGCCGGGATGTGCAGTTGTTGATTTTTGTGAGAGTGTGTGAGTGAGCTGATCGCTGTCCTGCTCCAGGTGGTGATGCTGAGAGTGAAAACAAAGGACGGCGTGTTTGTGTCTTCTTCAGACACCCAGCACATGGCTGGCCAAGCACCAACCTCCTGAGGCAGCCTGACTCTCTCTCTCTCTCTCGCCTTCATAACCAGCCATCCACACCCCTTGATAAAGCTCCTTTCGTTCACAATCCTCATCGTTCCGGCTAGGGCTCACCTTTCTCACCTTTTCCCTTCAGATCCACGTTCTCCTTTTTAAAAATTTCCCCTTCCGTCTCCCTCCCCAGAAAGCCGATGGTTTTTGATGCAGTCGCTGTTTCCACACATGCTCAACTGTAAATGTTTCCTTCACCCCCCCCCCCCCCCCACACACACTCACACACACAAACACACTGTTCGTAACGGTGTTGTGTTGCGATTGTACAGATTGGACCTTCTTTGGTTTTCTTTTTGTGGGCGAGTCTGTCTGTGTTATGATTTTCAGCAGCTTTGCTATTCCTCGGGTTTGCCTGCAAGGCACCCAAGAGTTTGATCCATGTCCTTTATTTGAGATCATTAATTAATTTTAACTTTGCAGCCAGTTTGCGCATAGCAATGTCCCACAAACAGTCATGGAGTGAGTGACTTATTTGTGGAAATGTTGGCCAGGACACCGGGAGAAACTCCTTTCTCTTTTCGAATAATGCCATGGGATATTTAACATCCACCTGAGCAGGCAGACAGGACCTCGTTTTAATGTCTCAGCCAAAGCACGGCACCTCTAACAATGCGTCACCCACCCCAGCACTGCAGTGGAGGTCAGATTAGACTATGTGGGACTTGAACCCAAAAGCTTCTGACTCAGCCAGGCAAGACGAGAGTGAAATCACTCCACCATGTTGACACACATTCCACCCAGATGCACATTTGCTCCATATTTACAGCATTCAAAGTTCAGAATTTGGTAAATTACAAATAATAATTGGTGCACTTGATGTTACCTGGATGAGAGCTAACTTCCTGCAGTTGAATGTCAACAACACCGAGTCCCTTCTGCTTGGCTCTTGTCAGTACCTCCATAGCTGGGCGCTGACAGCATCTCTGTCCGTGGACTCTACATCTCACAGAGCCAATACAGAACCTCAGCGTCCAGTTCGCCTCTCAACTGTTGGCCTGAACAATGAGCTCAGAGGCCTAACTTGGTGCTTGAACAACGGCTGGCAGCAAACTCTGTAGTAGAACATTAATTTTGAAGTCAGTTTTTGCTGAGTTCTTTTCTGTGTCTACAGAAAACCAGATTCCAAGTTAGGATTGATTCTTCCAATCAAAACTATTCACAACAAAATAAGAATTGCAATGGCATATGTCTCAGCCCTGCTCAGTAGTTTGCACTCGCACCTCTTGAGTCAAAAGTCTGTGGGTTCAAACACCACATAGAGACTTTGAACTCATATAGTCCAGAGTGACATTGTAGTGCATTCTCAGAGACTCCATCCTTTGGATGAGACGTTAAACAGAAGTGCTTTCTGTTTGTTCAGTGGATGTTAAGGATACCATGGCACTATACAGACAGAGAAGGGCGTTTATCCTGGTGTCCTAGCCAAATCCCCCAAATAAAATTGGTCACTCACTTCATCGCTGTTTGTGGCATATTACTGTGGGCTGTTCTGCACACACAAACAATAAAACAGCTTAGAAATATGTTTTTCTTTCCCCTCTACATATTGTTTCCCATCCCCTGATATGCATTGCTGGTTCCCTTTGTTTTTGTATTGGGTGACCAGGCAGGTCATTGCTGATCACTGTGTAGATTGGGTGACCAGGCAGGTCACTGCTGGTCACTATAGATTGGGTGACCAGGCTGGATCTCTATTAACTGCCTGTATTATTTGTTGGTGGCAGGCAGTAACCCCCGTGTTTGTGTTGCTGCCGGTTGTTGAGTTGCCTGAACATGTAACTAGTGTTTTTATTTATTTGCTTCTCTCCACATCCACCATTGGTGTGTGTTGTGCCAGAACAGCTGTGAATGTATGTATCTATTGGTAAACTGGAAGGACAGAAGGATTTGGGGAACATGGGTTGTGTGCATTCAAACCACCCCCCTTCCTAAATTTTATTTCATCTTTATCTCACTGAGATAGCCACACTGTTGTCTCTATTCTATAATTGTTGTGGGAATTTCTTTTGCAAACAGATGTTTCCTTAGTTGTAAATCCTGTTAGAAGTGAGAGCTTCAGTAGTCTGTCTATCCGCCTGTCCGTCCTGAGCAGCCTAGCCTTTAATTTTGCCCACAAATATACAGTCAATTCACTTTACAGTATGTTCTGTGAAGCGCTTTGAGATGTCTCAACGACGTGATGAGGTGCTATATCAAATGCAAGGATTATTATTAATACGTGAGCCCTTCACAAAACTCTGCAGAGAGCTGTCTCTTGCCTGAAGCAAAATGGGAGAGAGCAGCCCAGAGCAGGGAAATCCCTGTGAGGAAAACAAGAACAAAATTACATTCATATAGCACCTTTCACATCGCAGGGACATCCCAAGTGCTGAACAGTTAAGGATTTGCACCCCAGGTCTGAAATCAAGAGGGGTGGAGGATAGATGGAGGTGGGAGGGTGGCCGAAAGCACGAATATAAGGTCTTGAGACAGTTCTTGAAGGTGGCAAAGGAGGAGGCGAGGCAGATGGAGTTCCAGAGGGTGGTTGCAGAAAGCTGAAGGCATACTGCCAATGGTGGAGCAGGCAGAGTGGGGGACGTGGAGCAGGTCAGTTCTTGCCTAACAGAGGAAGTGGGTAGATTGATATTGTGTTGAGGTCACAGAGGTAGAGAGGAGCAAAACTAAGGAGGGCTTTGAAAGGGAGGATGAGGATTTTGAACTCTATTCTCTGGGGGATGGGAAGCCAGTGGAGCTGGAGAAGGATGGGGGTGATCGGCTCTCTGAGGGAGAGGGCACGAGCTGCAGAGTTGTGAAATAATCTACAGTTTGTGGGGGGAAGAGTTGGGAAGTCCGGTGAGCGAGGAATGAGGGTAATCACTCCCTAAAAAACTCAAACTAACCAAACTAAGCAGCAATGCTTGTGTTCGAGAGATGCCCCTGGCCCCTCTTTGCCACCATCGGTGGCTTTGCCTTCAGCCACGACACCCTGAACCTCTGAAACACCCTGCCTCATCCCATTAGATTTACGTCCTCGACAGGTTTCCTATCACAGAATGCATTGACTTCAAGATCTTCACAATTGTCTACAGTTCCCTTCATGCCCTGGCACTTCCCTAACTGTTCGGCACCGGCCTCCTGCAAGTTCCTCATCCCCTTGACTGCCATCATCGGTGGCCATGCTTTCAGCCATTACCCCCCAAAATTTGGAACTCTCTCCGTCAATCCCTCCTCTTTATCCCCTCCTTCCCCAGTTTCAGAATATGCCTGAAGACCTTCCTCTTCAGCTGTGCTACCATCGTCTCCCCTGGCCCGGCGTCAAGCCCCACCACTGATAAAAAAAATGCTTGGAGTCACTCCTCTGTGTAAAGGGCAACTGTACGTTGTTGTTAAGGATATTTGTATTGTATCCCGCTGGTAAAGTAAATTGTCTCCTGACATTTCCTTTTGTCTCTTTCACCTCTTATGGAATGTTTCAACTTCCTGCCCCCTCCTTGCTCTCTCTCTCTCTCACTTGTGCTTCAGTTTCTGTATTCGCAATGTCGAGACATGTGGGGTGGGGGAGATGGGAAACGGGGAGGGGATAAGATATGTGCCACAACTGTGGAAGCATTTTATTAATTATATTAATAATAATAATGCTTGCAATTGATATAGCTCTAATCCCGATGTGAAAGGCGCTATACAAATGTAATCTTGTTGTTGTTGTTATCGCATTGTTCAGATGTTTCAAAGCGGTTCATAGAATATATTGTAAAGTGGATTGATTGTGTACTTTGTGGGTGAAACTCGGCAGCCAATAGAGCACAGCATTGTCCCACAAACAGTACTGGATTGAGGGATTATTACTCTGGAAAGCTATTCAGGAATCAGCAAACAACCAGGTTCCCACATACTACTAGGTAAACTGGCGTGTGGAGTAATGAAACATGCCTAAGGTTTTGCCCACCTGGAAATCAAATCCAGGTCCTCTCGCTTGCAAGGCGAGCACACTAACCACTATGCTGTGGGACTTATAAAGTAAGTGCACAATGTTAAAGTTACTGCACGTATTGAGTAAAGTTGGGGGAAAGGGAACAACAGATAGAATTGTGTGCTCCTTGGGAGCTTAAATTTAGTCCCATATTACATGTGCTCTTTAATTTTAACCTCTGAATTCTAGTCTTGGGACGTTCTTCTGACTTGAAAGGCGCTATACAAATGTAATTTTGTTGTTGATGAATTTAAGTTCTCAAGGTCTCTCAACAACAACACAAAATTACATGCATTGCCTTTCACATTGGGAAGAGGTCCCAAGGCTCTGGATACTCAGTGTTTCGGCGGGGGACATGAAGCCAGCTGCAGCCCACTGAGCGGAGGGAGTGGGCAGGATGGTAAGGTTAGGAGGTCGCAGAGGTAGGGGGGAGGGAGCAAGGCCATGGAGGGCTTTGAAGGTGAGCATCAGGATCTTGAACTGTATCCTCTGTGTGATGGGAAGCCAGTGGAATTGGGCGAGGTTGGGGGTGATAAGGTCACAGAGCCTGGTGCGGGAGGGGACACGGGCTACAGAGTTCTGGATGATCTGCAGCCTATGGAGGGAGAAGTTGGGGAGGCCAACAAGCAAGGAGTTTGCATAGTCAAGCCTGGATGTTATGAATGTGTGTATGAGGATTTCAGCGGTGTGAGACAATGGCGGAACTGGGAGATGTTGTGGAGGTGGGGGAAGGCAGAGTGGGTCATGGCGCCAATGTGGGGTAGAAAGGATAGTTGAGGGTCAACAAGGTTCTGGACTAGCTTAATAAGGTGGAGTGTGCATCCACGGATGGTGATTCTGTCAGCGCCTGAGGTGTGGAAGCGTTGTCAGGAGCCAATCTGGAGGGCCTCGGTCTTGTTGACTTTCAACTGAAGAAAGTTAGCTCTCATACAGGATTTAATGTCTGACAGACATTCTGTCAGGACAGCAGTGGTCCTGGAGTGAAGGGTGGAGGCAGAGAGATACAGTTGGGTGTCATCCGCATACATGTGGAAATTGACCCCATGTCTGTGGATAATGTCTCCAAGAGGGAGTATATAGATATTGAACAGGAGGGACAAAGTCCTGAGGAACTCTGCATGAGATGGTGTGGGGGCTAGAGACACTGTTTGTGGAGATGAAGTGGAGGAGGTGTGAGAGGCACGATCTAAATCATTTAAGGACAGAAAACCATGAAGGTTGAGGGGAGAGGAGTGGTGGTGGATAAGGATAGAGTAATCGACAGTATCAAAGGCAGCAGAGAGGTCAAGGAGGTAGAAGAAGCCCTGGTCGCAGATGGACAGAATGTCATTTGTCACTTTGACCAGGTCTGTTTCTGGACTGTGGGTGGCACAGGTTCGTGAAGGGAGTGGTGGGAGAGGAAGGAGCGAAGTTGGGAAGCAACAACTTGTTTCAGAACCTTGGAGAGAAAAGGGAGTTCAGAGATGGGACGGTAGTTTGAGAGCAGGAATGGGTCCAGGGAAAGTGTTTCAAGGATAGGAGTGATGACGGACCTTTTTAAAGGGGTCTCAGTGCTGCTATCAGCTGTTAAACTCAGTGTGTCAGACTTGTGTCTTTGTAACACATGGACTCGCAAGCTTCAGTTTGCTGTGTGATCCGTAGTCTCACAATCAACACAACAATAACAACAAAAATCATTTAGTGCCTTTCACATCAGGAGCATGTCTCAAGGCATTGGAAAGTTAATGGTTGGCACCTGAGCTCGCGGTTGGAACCAAGAGGGTTGGAGGGTAGAGGGGGTACAAGGGTGGCCAAAAGCACGGTCAAAGAGGAAAGACAGGCCTTGAATGAGGCAAGGGAGGGGGCGAGGTGGAGGAATTCTGGAATGGAGTTCCACAGGGTAGGGACAAAAGGCTGAATAAAATGCGCTTGTTTCCTTTCACAGTTCTTTCACTGGCACGGGCTGAGATGCGGTATTCGGAAACTTTGCTGATTTTGTGTTTTGTGTGTTTTTTTTATCCTCGTTTACAGATTATTTGAAAGGAAAGCGGGACGATGTTTGGTTTCCACAAGCCCAAAATGTACCGGAGTCTGGAGGGTTGCTGTATCTGCAGGGCCAAGTCATCCAGCTCCCGCTTCACTGACAGCAAACGCTATGAGAGAGACTTTCACAACTGCTTCGGGTAACGAGAAAGAAAAAAATTCAGCCTTTACATTTGCCTGAGAAGATTAACAACAACAAGATTACATTTGTATAGCGCCTTTCACGTCGGGAGACCATCCCAAGGCGCTAGACAGAGTACAGGATTTCAGACCCGAGCTGGGGTTGGGGGGTCAAGGGAGGGGAAGGGGGTTGGCCGATGGCATGATCGAAGAGGAGGGTCTTGAGTTGGGACTTGAAGGAGGCTAAGGCGGGGGCGAGCCGGAGTGACTGGGGGATGGAAGCTGCGTCATCAAGTCTTTTTTTGTATTGTTTCTTTTTGCTTCTGTGTGTCAGCCCGGATCAGTGGTAGCATTCTCGCATCTTAGTCAGAAAGTTGTGGGTTTAAGCCCCCTATGTCAGGACTTGGAATCACACCATCTAAACTGACACTTCAATGCAGTGCTGGAGGTGTGTTGCATTGGTGGAGGTGCCTTACTTTGGATGAGACTTTCACCCGAGGTCCCGTCTGCCTGTTTCAGGTGCATGTTAAAGATCCCATGGCACCATTCGAAAAGAGAAGGTAGTTTCTCTCTCATTCCAGATGTCCTGGCCAACAAATTCCCAAATAAAATTGGTCACTCACTCCATGGCTGTTTGTGGGATGTTGCTGTGCGCAAACTTGCTGCCGAATTTCACTCACAAGACGCAAGCCAATTCACTTTACAGTATATTCTGTGAATCGCTTTGAGACATCCTGATGATGTGATAAGGCGCTATATCAAATGCAAGGATTGTTATTATTGTTGTTTTTCAATTGTAGATTGAACGAAACCCGCTCTGGAGAAATCTGCAACGCCTGTGTTCTTCTGGTCAAAAGATGGAAAAAGCTTCCTGTAGGGTCCAAAAAGAACTGGAATCATGTAGGTAGAGAGAGCGCTGCTCTCACTGCATCCTGCTTTTTGTTTTCTACTTCTTGGAATATCAGCCTGGCTCAGTAAGGAGCACCCACACCTCACAGTCAAAAAGTTGTGGGTCAAACCCCCATGTCTGGACTTTGATACTCACAGTCCAGGCTTATGCATCAACAACAACAGATTATATTTATATAGCGCCTTTCACATCAGGAGGACCTCCCAAGGCGCTGGACAGTCAGGAATTTGCACCCGAGCTGGTGGTTGAGATTAGGAGGGGGGAGGGTAGGGGTAGGAGGGTGACCAAAGGCACAGTCGAAGAGGAGGGTCTTGAGACAGATCTTGAAGGAGGCAAGGGAGCGGGCGAGGCAGAGAGACTGGGATTGAGATCCAGAGGATGCATGCAGGGAGACTGATGGCCCCGCCACCAATGGTGGGGCAGCTTGAGCTCAGGTTGAGCTGAAGAGAGGCTGCGTAGGAGGATAGAATGGTCGACAGCGTCAAAGTTGGTAATTGTGTCTGTGTGTCTGGTCCACAGGTAGTTGATGTGCGAGCCGGACCAAATCTGAAGACCACACTGAAGCCTAAAAAGGTGCAGTCCCTGACCGGCAGCAGAATAAAATGCAGTCAGATCAGCAAACTCAAGAAGCGACTCAAACGGCAAAGTAAGGTTTGCTTCTTCAGATGAGTTGTTGAATTGAGGTCCGCCTGCCTGTTCAGGTGGGCGTTAAAGATCCTGTGGCGCTATTCGAAACGAGAAAGCAGTTTCTCCCATTGCCCTGGACAACAATCCCCCAAATAAAATTGGTCACATGGCTAACAAATGTCATTTTGTTGTTGTTGTTTGTGGGCTATTGTTGTGCGCGAACTGGCTGCCGTGTTTCGCCCACAAAATACACAATCGTGGCTGCTACAGTAACAATAGCTATTAGTCCACAATCAATGGCATAGTGTATTTGTTACAGTGAGCAGAGGCTTGTTTGCATGTTCAATAAAATAGGCTCCATGCAGCTGAACATAAGACTGTTTGCCCCCAATTTAAGGTTGTGGAAAATTCTTAAACGTAGTGTTTGGAAGCTGGTTCATTTCAAGAACTGCTGAAATATGGCTGGCAGACTGGGCCTAAAGTTAAAAATTTTAGCCTGGCTCAGTGGTAGAACGCTTGTATCTGAGTTAGAACATTAGGGGTTCAAGCCCCATGTCAGGACTTGGAATCGCAGTGCTGTGGGGACACTGCATTGTCGTAGTTGTCATCCTTTGGATGAGGCAACAAACTGAGACCCGTCTGTGCAGGTGGATGTTAAAGATCTTCTGGTACTATTCAAAGAGAGGAGGCAGTTTTACCGGCCAACAATCCCAGTAAAATTGTCCATTCACTTCATGGCTGTTTGTGGGACATTGTGATGCGCAAATTAACTGCCAATTTCACCCAAAATACAAACACTCACTTCACGGTATATCCTGTGAAGCACTTCGAGATTTCTCCATGACATGATAATTTGAGGATTATTTTCATCTTAATTCTTAAGACAAAACAGTGTGAAAGAAGTGGATTCACAGACTGCTCACTGTAGACTAGTATTTGTCCATTGCAAAAGATGTAGTAAATGTGGCTTGTGATGGCTGTGAGTTACTTTGTTTAACCTTGCTCCTACTGTGTTGAAATGCAGACTCGGACACTCATAGTACCACCTCCAGCATGTCCCCCGCACAATCTCCCTCCTACAGCAACAACTCAGACGATGGCTCCGACACAGACATGGTCCCTGGTTCCACCAGAGTTCCAGTCTTCTCCTTCCTGGACCTCACTTACTGGAAAAGGTACAGTCAGCACCCTGACCTGCAATTACACTGAGACCTCTGTACAGTCTGATGTTAGAGTGACATCACTATATAGTCTGATATTAATACTGACAACTCTATACAGTCTGATATTAACAGTGACACCTCTGTATAGTCTGATTAACAGGGATACCTCGACGTAGTCTGTTATTAACAGTGATACATCTATGTAGTCTGTTATTAACAGTGATACCTCTATACAGTCTGTTATTAACAGTAATACCTCTATATAGTCTAATATTACAGTGACACCTCTGTACTGTCTGATATTAACAGCGACACCTCTATATAGTCTGATCTAATAACAGTGACACCTCTATATAGTCCATTATTTCAGTGACACCTTTAAACAGTCTGATATTAATAGTGGCACCTCTACACAGTTTGTTATTAACAGTGACACCTCTATATAGTCTGATATATGGACTTATATACATATAGACTTCAAGATCCTCACCCTTGTATTGAAGTCCCTGCTCCTCTGTACCTCACTACCTCTCTGACCTCCTCTCTCCTCAAAACAGTACCTGTTGCCTTTGTTCCTCCGGGACTGGCCTCCTCCTCGTCCCCCGAGTCCTCCGCTCTACCCTCGGTGGCCGTGCCTTCAGCTACTATGCCCCGAGGCTCTGGAACTGCCTTCCTCACTCCCTTCGTCTCACTCCCTCCCTTCCCATTTTCAGGTCTCAGCTGAAGACCTTTCATTTCGACTGCGCCTTTGGTCATCTTCCTCCCCCTCCCCCTGGCTCGGTCCTGGGATCCGTTACTGTAAAGCGCTCTGAGACGCCATCCGGCGTGGAGGGTGCTATATAAATTCAAGTTGTTGTTGATATTACAGTGATTCCACTATATAGTCTGTTAACAGTGACATCTCTATATAGTCTAATATTACAGTGACACCTCTATACAGTTTGATATTAACAGCGACAGCTCTATATAGTCTATTATTACAGTGACACTTCTATACAGTTTGATATTAACAGTGATACAACAACAAGACTACATTTGATACCTCTATATAGTCTAATTAAGACTTACACCTCTATATAGTCTGATATTTTAGTTACACCACTATACTGTCTTATAGTACAGTGACACCTCTGTACAGTTTGATATTAACAGTAACACCTCTATTTAGTCTGATATTAACAGTGACACCTCTATTTAGTCTGATATTAGCAGTGACACCTTTATATAGTCTATTATTAAGTGGCACTTCTGTACAGTTTGATATTAACAGTGACATCTCTATATCATCTGATATTACAGTGACACCTCTGTAGTCTGTTGTTAACAGTAATAATAATAATAATAATCCTTGCATTTGTTATAGCACTTTCACGTCTTCTAGATGTCGCAAAGCGCTTCACAGAATATACCTCAAAGTGAATTGACTGTATATTTGTTATTAAAACGCGGCAGCCAATTGCGCACAATCGTGTCCGAAAAACAATCGTAGACTGAAGTGACCAATTTTATTATTATATTATTATTATATAATATTATATAGTGCTTTATCATGTCGTTGAGACGACTCAAATCGCTTCACAGGATATATTGGAGTGGAGTCCTGTAGCTCAGTGGTTAGAGCACTCACAAGTGAGAGGACATGGGTTTGATACAGGGCAGGGCAAAATTTGGGCATTGGATAGGTACTTGAAAGGGAAAAATGGGGTCTATGGGGCAGTGGGATTAGTTAGTAGTTTCCTTACTCCACACACCTCTGTTTACCCAGAAGTAAGTAGGAACATGATTGTTAGTTGATTGACGGATCTCTTTTTCGGGGGTAATAATTCCTTCAAAAAAAAAATTGGTCACTTCAGTCCAAGGCTGTTTGTGGGACGCTGCTTCAGCATCCACCGATGAACACTCCACCTCACCACTATATAGTCTGATATTAACAGTGACACCTCTATCTAGTCTGATATACAGAGGTTAAGTCCTGCTTCAAATGCTCTGTCTGGTTGTAATCCAGAAATGGTGGGTTTGTCAGTTGGAGCTCTAAGCAGCGGTTGGAAGCCGAAGCTTTATTATGACCCGATTTAAGATTGCTGTTTTCACACCAGCTTTCCTTCGGTTTCTTCTGTTACAGACAGAAAGTGTGCTGTGGCATAATTTACAAGGGTCGTTTCGGGGAGGTGCTGATTGACCCCCATCTCTTCAAACCTTGCTGCCCTGGCAAAAAGCTAGGAGGTATAGAGAGCCAGGGGCAGCAGAGGCCAGTGTCTCCAACCGCCTCCAAAGACGAGGAATGGTGAAACAGCTCAACCATCGAGTGAGGAGAGGGGAGAGGAACAATGTTGGGGTTCAAGGAAGCAGGGTCATGTGGGGGGGATATGGACTTTGTCAACGGACAAGACTCCTGAAACCAGCTAACCTGCCGAAAGACTGTTCTCCTGGCTTGTTCTCTCCGTTATCTGCAGTTTGATGTGGCTGGCAAAGAACTCTGTAAATGTTGTGTCATTTTCTGAAGTTGCACCGTATCATTAAGTGAGAGCGAACCTTTCTGTAACGTGATTTCCCCCGCCCCCCCACCCCACACACACACACACACACACACACTCTCCTCCTGCCCATGCCCCAGGTTTTAATTAACCTTGTTTTCCCTTTTTTTTGTTCCACAGAGTGAGTGAGCAAAATGAGGGAATGTGAATGTTGTAATATGAAATGTAACATCGTTATTATTATTGTGATTATGGTTATTATTTTAGTGCCCTGATATTAATGGTTTGGGGCTTTAGAGAGCACTGGTTGAGGTGGTTGGTGAACACTGACACTCCCGCAGCTGGTTGGGTGGGGGAGGGAGGGAACTCGGTCAGTCTTCTTGTTGCTGCTCGTCTCGCTCGGCCGGCCACTCTTCCTGGTGAATGAGAAAAAAAGTGTTTTTACATGAATATACTTCAGAATTTCAGGTGGATTTGCCTTTCAATGAAAATAAGGGTTCTACTGTTGAGGCTTATCTGGTCTCCAAGATCCCACCCCCCACTGCCAGTCACTGCAAAATCGTTGTGTGTATGTCTGAAATTGTCGTTTTTTTATTGATTTGGATTTCCCCAGCCCCCCCCCGCCCCCCCCAACGAATCCCAGCTGAGAATACTTCCCAAAGTCCCAGCCACATTGTTTGCGATCCTCCAGAATCATTGACTGCTGCTTTTCCCGGCTGTTGTGTGGAGCGAGTTGTTGCAAGTGAACTCCAAGCAGCTCCATGAGTCATCTGCATAACTCTGTTCAGATTAACTGCAGTTAACAATAATAATCCTTGCATTTGGTATAGCTCTTTATCACGTCGGAAGGACATCTCAAAACATTTCACAGGATTTACTGTGAAATTAAGTGACTGTATTTTTTAGGCAAATGCGGCAGCACAGTTGGGCACAGCAGTGTCCCACAAACAGCCATGAAATGAGTCAGCAATTGTTTTTATTTGGGGGTTTGTTGGCCAGGACACTGGGAGAGAGAAACTCCCTTCTCTTTTTGAATAGTACCATGAGATCTTTAACATCCACCTGAACAGACAGACGAGAGGGAACTCGGTTTAACGTCTCATCCGAAGGATGGGTTCCCCTCGTGGAGTAGGGTAACGGGTAAGCGTTGAGTGGGGGGAAGAGAGCTCAAGAACAGGCCTGATGGGCAGAATGGCCTCTTTCTCTGTTGTAAACATTGTGTGATTTCACCTGAGCCTTTGCAGAATCCTCGAATGTAGGCTTCAACTGCTGGGGTTGAACTCACGACCAGGATTTTTGTGAGTTTGATCTCCCGAATCCTATATTTATTATTTATTTATTTTTGTTTTTGCAATAAGAAGAACCAAGATCTGCTTTCCTTCCTTCACCTAGTTCAGTGCAGCAAGATGTATTTAGTGATGCACTTTGTAATGTATTAGAGATCTATGGAGACAGTTTTGTACTTTTTTTATACTGTTAATATTCTTGTACCGAGAAGTTTTTTTATTAGTCTTGAAATAAAGTAGATTGATTTATAACACCTGTGTACTGCACTCAGCCCATCTGCTTAACGCGTCTTTTTCACTTAGGTTTTTGTGTCTGTGTGTTTGTGGTGTGTGTTTTTGTATCTGTGTGTCGTGTTTTTGTGTGTGGAGTTTGTGTGTGTGTGTGTGTGGTATCTGTGTGTAGTGTTTGTGTATGTGTGGTGTTTGAGTGTGTGTTTGTATCTGTGTCCAGCTTGACATGGCGATGAGGAAACTTGATATGACCGGAGGTGCTGTCCTTTTGCTTGGCATATTCAGTTGGCTAAGTCGGTAACACTTGCCTCTGAGTCAGAAAGTTGTGAGTTCAAGCCCCACGTTGGGGCATAGAACCCATATAATATTTTTATATAATGTTATTTTTGATATAGCACCTAATCACATTGTTGAGACGTCTCAATGCGCTTTACAGGATTTACTGTGAAATGCAGTGATTGTGTGTAGGCAAATGTAACAGGGCCATGGAGTGAGTGACTAATCTTATCTGAGGGATTGTTGGCCTGGATACCAGGAGAGAAACTCCCTTCTCTTTTTGAATAGGCTGTGGGAACTTTAATGTTCACTATAAAAAGCAAACAAGACCTTGGTTTAACATCTCAGCCAAAGGATGGCACCACTGACAATGGAATACCGCCCCAGGGCAGCAGCAGGAGCTGGGGGTTGGAACACATCGCAGGGAGAGAGATGGGGCGGTGAGAGAGGGGGTGGTGGCAAGGAGAAAGGGGGGAGAGAGAATGGGAGGAGAGGAGGGAGGGGGGAGAGAGTGTCCCCCCTCTCTTTCCCCCCTCTCCCCACCGCTCTCCCTTATTCTCTCTCCCCCCACTTCTCTCTCCCCCCACTTCTCTCTTCACCCCTTCTCTCTCCCCCTCTCTTCTCTCCTTCCCTTTCTCTCTCCCCCCCCTTCTCCTTCGCTTTCCTCCTCTCAATCCCTCCCTCCCAATCAGCCTCGCAAGTCGCTGTCTGCATGGCAGTTGCTGAGGATGCAATTGATAATAATAATAATCGTTGCATTTGATATAGTGCTTTTCACGTCTTCGAGATGTCTCAAAGCGCTTCACAGAATATACTGTGAAGTGAATTGACTATATATTTGTGGGCAAAACGCAGCAGCTAATTGCGCACAGCAGTGTCCCACAAACAGTCGTGGATTGAATGTTTTTTTTAAGGATTATTCCCAGAAAACCGATCCACCAATTGACTAACAACTGGGTTCTTATATGCTAGGTAAGAGATGCGCTTGCCTTCCTGACAGATAGAGTAATAGCCGGTATTATGTACACTTCCTGCTGGGTTCCAACCGTCAGCTCCATTCTCCTCTCAACCACCGGCTCCTGATGTTGCCCTGGGAAGACGTTGACCAGGGAGGAGGGAATGGAAGGTGGAAATTAGGAAATGGACGCGGGCCGGATAAAATCACCTACCGGGCCGGACTTGGCCCGCGGGCTGCCAGCTGGCCCACGCTGGATGCAAATAGTTTGGACCGCCCTGACTTAGACTGTATGGATTCTAAGTCCCTTGAAGTCCTGGCTCAGAGGTGAGAGTGCTTTCAACTCAGCCAGACTGATATGCCAATGCAGTGATAAGGGGGAGTACTGCATTGTCGGAGGTGACATCCTTTGGATGAGATTTTAAACTGAGGCCCCGGCCTAGGTAAACATCGGCTGCAATGCTTACGTTTTCCCACAGTGACTACATTTTATAATTTTTTCTGGAAGGTGCTTTAAGATGTTCTCCTGACATGAAAGGGAATTTCAAATGTAAAGATTATTTTATTATTGATTGTGGGAAGTGGAATTAGAAAATTTTCCTTTGAGTTTCATTATGTGGAAGTGGAGTTAGATAGTTGGCTGTGGATTGAATTGTGCAGTAACAGTCTTAGAAAGTTGTCTGTAAGTTTGATTGTGGTAAGCAGTGGTAGAAAATTGTCCTTTAAGTTTGCTTGTGGGGAAGTTGAGTAAGAAAGTTTACCTATGAGTTTGGTTGTGGGGAAGTGGAGTAGGAAAGTTGTCTGTAAGTTTCATGACAGGGAAACCAAGTTTCAAAGTTGTCCTCAGTGTTAGCCTTGAGTTGTGAGTTCAAAGTCACATTTTCCTATGCGGTCACTGCTTAACAATGTATCTTGTGAAGCGCCTTTGAGACGTCTTCTTGATTTGGAAGGCGCAGTATGAAACGTAAGGATTATTATTGTTATACTTTTTGTGCCAGGTATTTTCTCTGTGACACGAGCATTTCCACTGTGGAGTTTCAGAACAGCCATGAAATTACTAAAACAAAGAGTTGTTGCTATCAGGTCTCCACCAATGACTCATGGGCAACCACTTTGTTTCAAGGGTTTATTCTGTACACGCGTCAGATGTTCATCTCAGATGTGTCTGGACATTGCTGGTCACCTTCTCCCCAAAATCCAGAGCAGATGAACTGCTGAAACTCCAATATCGTCATCCATCTCACTGCAGGAGAGAGGAAACAACCTCAGTGCTTTTATGGATCAGGGGAAGGGTGGAGTGGAGATGTGTAGAGAATGTGGAACTTGTTTTTACGCATAAAGTATGAAGCCCAACAGCACCATCTGCTGACAAAAGGAAACTAACCACAAATTTCCCTCTGTTTTTGTGCTCTGCAAATAAAAGAGGCATTGTTCTTTGTAAAGGAGAACAATTGCAATGTTCAAGCTTTTTTTTGAATCAAACAATAGGAAGATATCAACTATGTCAACAGGACTCAGTGGGCTGTCAGAGCTCATCACAACAGACCTTTGCTCTGATCCATTCCCATAGTTTCTGTTCTGATGATTGTTAATAATAACCTGGAGACCTGGAGTCTTTCTTGTAGCACAGTGGTTAGAGCACTCGCCTCGCAAGCGTGGGTTGGATTCCCGGGAGGGCGAAACATTGGGCAAGTTTCCTTACTCCATAAAGCTCTGTTTACCTAGCAGTAAGTAGGAACCTGGTTGTTAGTCGATTGCATGCCCAATTGGCTTCCGCATTTCGTCCACAAAATATCCAGTCAATTCACTTTACAGTACATTCTGTGAAGCGCGTTGAGACGTAAAGAAGTGATAAGGCACTATATCAAATGCAAGGATTATTATATCAAATGCAAGGATTATTGTACAAATGCAAGGATGATTATAATTATAAATTTTGCACACAGCAATATCCCACAAGTAACTATGAAGCGAATTATCAATTTTTTTGGGGGGGGATTGTCGGCCAGGATAACATAAATGCGTGGATGAGGGTTTTGGTGTCCTTAAGGGGTGAGGCAGAGGTGGATCCGGGCGATGTTGTAGAGGTGAGGGGGGAAAAGGCAGAGCGGGTCATGGCATGGATGGTAGAAACAAGACACCAAGGTTCCTGACTGGCTCAGTGAGGGGTGGTGTGTATCGATGGATGGTGCTGCTGCCAGTACCTGAGGTGTGGAGGCACTGACGGGAGCTAATCAGGAGAGCCTCGGTCTTGTTGACATTGAACTGTAGAAAGTTAGCTCTCATCCAGTACTTGATGTCTGACAGACGTTCTGTCAGGACAGCATTGGTCCTGGAGTCGAGGGAGGAGACAGAGAGATACAAATTGGGTGTCATCTGTATACTAGCGGAAATTCACTCCATGTCTGTGGATGATGCCACAAAGAGGAAGCCTGTACATATTGAAGAGAAGAG